TAAAATTTCATTTTTGAAAATATCGAAAATTAATTAAAACCATTTAGGAAAAATCGTAGGTGTGCTCACAAAAACGCAATCTTGAAGGTTTTCTTCTCCAAGCTTTTACTTTTTATGACAAATTAGAGATGAAGCATCCACAGACATTAGGAATTATGGTCGTAATTTAGTTATGTGGCTTGCTAGACATTACTGTTTTTTTTTTCTTTTTTTTATCCCCCACTTTTGGTTTTTTGTTTTGCTTCCCTTGAAAAGTTGATTCTGCTTGTTAGGCGTAAAAAAGAAGATGTTTGGTTGAATAAATAAGCTGGTTTGAGAGAAAAAAACCAAAAAAAGTCATATGTGAACCCTAAAATAGATTATATTGTAAAGCCATCACCAATTTTCATCTGCTTAATTTCTGAAATACGGCCAATCCAGAAATGAATTTTGAAGATCTATTTCGATTATAGCATTTTTCGCTCTTTTAAATCCACTTTATGATTTGCATGTTTCTGTTGGTTGCAAATTGGTTTTCGCCATTTTTCGACACGCAATTCCCACACAATTTCCGGTCAAACTCTGTTGGACCTTTTTTGCAAACATTTTATAATAAACCGATTTAACTTCACAAACATCAAAAGTAATTACATTCGACGATTACGTTGCATCTCATCGAAATAATTTGCCAATATCTATACTGGCCGCCCACTTTCTATTTCTTCTTTCTCTATAATATTCGGTGTAGTCGAAGCACATATTTTTCAATATAATATATAAATATATATACACACACACATATATACGGCGGTATACTCGGATTCAATTCGGTTTCGTCTCAATACGAATATGCAAGTATATTTTTGCGGGTGATGAGAAAAAAAAGCAAGGGGCTGGAAAATGAAATTCGCGTTGTGGTCTCATCCTTTTTCCAAAAAAAAATTTTTCGAGTCTTCTTCTTCAAAAATCTAGCGAAATTTGACATATTTTGTTTATTTTTCGTCTCATTTTTTCACTCTTTGACTCAAAGAAAAAATAATAAATCTTTTTTTCTCGAGGAGTCTCATATTCATTTAGGGTTCAATTTACATAATGTTTCCCTCATTCAATGTGTGTTTTCGTGGCAGCACAACGGGTTCTGGAATTCGTTGTGTGTGTGTGTGTGTGTGTCGCGTGGTCCTCTGGAGAATTTCTCTCTGAAAATCACTCGTTTTGCTTTCGTTTTCCAGACGCTCGTCGCATTCTTTTTTTTGAGTCACTTCACAAAACTCTTCTTCGATATAATTTTTAATATCCTCTCTTCACAATTTTTATTCCGAAAAAAATATATGAATGCGAGTATGCACTTTTACTACAAAAATAAGAACAATTTTTCAATTTTCAAATGTTCAAATACAAGAGTTCTCAAAATGACTTTTTTTCCGCAAGTTTGGAAGTGATTTTTGATTTAAAATAACTTTTATTGAATGTAGGATATTAAATAGAATATTATTTATCGGTAATAACTAAATAAGTTTTCTGAATAAGTTTTACTAGAAATATTAATTACATTCTGAGAATATGAAATACATACTCTAGTATTTCGAGAGAAGGCCAATAGTTTTAATAGTAATTTCTCGAGCACTGTAATCATCGAAATAATAATTTGTGTAGACGAACAAACCAACGACGTACGTCTGTAAGTCGATACATTCGATCGCTAGTAGTCTACAGTATTCGCACGTCAAACTTATTTGAAGAAGTAATTTGCATGAAATTGCATGTGTTAAAAATCAAAAGAATTAATGAATTCATTATTTGTAATCACTTGACCAGCTCTGAGCTTTCACATTTCTAAAATAAAATAAAAAATACCAGAAAGATTAGTTATTCAGTGCGTTTTTATGGCCACCTCTATTGTTATGTATAACTTTTCTCCATGTCAATTTTTTTGAAATTCAAATAGGGGTACTAAATGCGAAAAATACTGTATATGAATTATGTTCATATTGAGATCATAATTGAGAGTTTAATACATATCGAATCAAATAAGATGAACGTAGATGAAAGTGTGTGGGAAGGGTCCATCCAATTATCATCGTAACACATTTGCATAACAGAATTTTTTGCGGAGATGTTGTCTTCGTCGGTCGCCTTTTTTTCTTCTCTTTTTTCGACAAAGTCATCGTTTATTCAACAACTCTCACGGCAGGCTCGAGAACTAAAAAAACATGTATAAAACTGCGAAAATTTATTGCGAGTTCACATTCCTCTGGGGGTATTTGAGTTCATATTTTTGTTATTATTGATTACCAATAAAAGTTTTCTTTTTATTTCCCACAAGCCACCCGCGACACACCCACATACGCATTCATACATCAATTCTAATGCCCTTGTGTATTTTCAAATCTTGCGAGTTTCTATTTCTGTTTGAGTAAGATTTGAATGTGGAGAGTCGAAAAATGAGCTCATTTGCTTCAATTCACTTAACTGTGCCTTAATTGCATTCCACCAAAGTTTCCTTCAACTCTTCTCCAACGAAATTTCAACTCATATTTTTTCAAACAATATTTCGTTTCCAATATATTCGAAAATAGAGCTAATTCCTATTTTATCAATATACTCAGTTTTAACAAAATAATTTAATTTTGTAAGTAACAACTGATTTTGAATTAAGTCTTCCCGATTTTATTGAAATCTTCCTGAAAAATAATGTTTTTTGATTTTTGAAGTGTGATTGACAAGTCTGAAAAAGAAATTTGATCCATTCACTTATTGTGATAAATTTCAAACAAAAACTCCAGCCAACTTTTATTTACATTTTATTTCAGAATGTTGATTTGGTGAAAATCATTCTCACCGGGAATTTATTGAAAAAATAGCGACAATAATGAATAGATGCCTTAACAATTTTGAGTTGTGTACGGATTATTAAGCAAAATGCCTAATGAAAATCCCAAAAATGTAAAAAGAGTCCTCTCGGAATTACCAATTTGCATCTCAGATAGGAAAAACAGTTCATAAGTTTAACATTTACAATTAGTGGTTTTTGCGTTTCTTCTCAAAACCTATTCCCACGTGAAATTTTAATGGTCCCATGTCACGTCATTGTGGAAGTTATGCATTTACGTGTTTCGTCAAGTGATGGTAGGTTAAAGAGTTCAAATAAACTAACAGAGTCTCTATTACAATCGTAACAACGAACCCAGTGCGTTAAATTTAATTGGAGGGTTGTTCGTGGTACGGTCCCGAGGTCTCACTGCTTAAATCGAAATTTGAATTATCGCCCGAAAAAATTCGATGGTCCACAATTGTTTAAGGTGCTCTGATAACTCAAAACCAATCACTTCATATATACATATGTATAAGCAGCGTCAGGAGATTGCTGTATGCTGTTTTTTAGTGCATTCGCTATGGTCTCGCACGGACTATCTGCTAATTTTGCATTTTTGAGCCTTCTTTTTTAATTTTTAATTTCAATAAGAATTCAACGAAATTATATTCTCTCTCTCTCATCAAGAAAAATTAATCAGTTTACGTGAAATTTTTAAAATAGAAGAGGTCTTAGTGCACGGTATGCGCCTTTAACCTTCATATTTTGTGCATAGGCCCGTAAATATAAATTTTCCCAAAGACCACTGTCATTGTTTTTTTTTGGCATTTAACCGATCTTGTGCGGTCGACTATATATATTTTAAATTTTTCATAACGTATTTCATAATTTTATAATGTATCATCCACTTACCGAAGAAAGAAAGAGAGAGAGAGAGAGAGAATCATGTATCATTAAAACCTCACAAGTGACAAAAATTAATTAGAAATTTTAATAATAAGATACTTTTGAGTTTGAATAAACTCTCAACTCTTTTTTTTTTAATTCTTGTTGTTCCCCTTTTGCACCTGTCTGTCCATCACTCATTACGTATTTTCGATCGGGATTCCAGACACATGCCATCGCTTATGTTAAACTTCTTCTGACATGTTCGCACTCGTTTTTTCGGGGCGTGCGGCAAAATGCATTTGTCGGACTGATATATGCAAATGGCGTTCTCCTGTGTGACAACCGCAATCCGCAATCGAATTGGCGCTTTTTGACACTTTTTGGTCCGCGTCGTGATGAAATTTCCATATATTCTCATTCGCGATTGCTCTCTGTTCGTATGTGTAGGGCGAATACGAATGAAAACCCCACAGTATGCCGTCATTTCCATTCCTAATCTTCCTATTTGTCCATTCTTTTGAACTACAACATCTGGCTTCAATTCAAGCATTTTTGCACTTTTTTTGGAAGATTGCAAATCGCGTTTTTGTTCGATGCGTGTTTCGTCGCACTGCGAACAAAATGTCGAAACTCAATTTCTGTTCAACCGAATTCAAACATTTATATTTATTTATCTGATATTTTCGAAAGCATTTGTGTACTTTGAAATAATTTCAAAAGTGCAATTAAGTAACAAACGAGGCTTATAAACTCAAAGATTTTTCTCGACAAATTGAACATATTTATTTTCAGTTTCCCGCTTTTTCTTCTTCTCCTCGCAAGCACAAACTTCGTTGCCTGTTTTGGCGGCTGATAATCTTGCGGAAATTCGCGTTAATAAAAATAATAAGAATAATTCCTTATCATCAGCCATCATTTCCTTAATCATACGCAATTTAAACAACAATCAAATAAAACAATTGCAATGAATTGAATCCCACTAGAAATGCGTTATTTATCGAAACTTGTCAAGCGTTGAGTAACGTCTTGTCAAAACAACACACATATAAGAAATAAAACGATAGGATGGCAAAAAATTTGATATTGAGCTTCTTCTTCTTCGAGGGGTGGGAATATTCTATCCATTCATTTCCTCTCGATTTGCCCGTAAATTAAACCAATTTTTCGTATTTTTCATGCTCTCATCCCTTCCTTTCATGTTGTTCATCATTAAAATCCATCCATCTCACTCATTTCGCGTTTCTTTCAAGCTGCTGGATTTTATAATAGGCTCTTATTGTGTTCACCCTTTATGGATATGGTGATTTGTTTCAGATGCGATATGGAATTCACCGAGTGCAAAACGGTACTATTCCATTTGCCCGAAAAAAGCATATTTTATGAATTGTTTATGTAAGTTCAATATTTTATTCTTCCCCTAGTTATTTGTCTTTTTTTCAGTGACGTCTACAATTTCTATCATCCGATTCACGCATATTTATCTATAATACTATGTGTTCTCGGAACTATTGCCAATTTCTGCAATATCGTCATATTAACAAGGTAAAATTTATCAACTTTTCGTCTCGAGACAGCGAGTCGCGCGTTGTGTACTCCCCACGGACAATACTCCATACTAACGTGGCGTAAATATCCCCGTGCGTAAATCGACACCTATCCTGCGTGAATCAACCATACAGTAGAGCGCGTTATCTGCAGTTTCCCTCATTTGACGTAAAAATATTCCACTATGACGCGTTTTCATCGAGGAATTATGGATTCACGTGAATTTGTAGAATCATAATACAATCTGAATAATAAGATTAGTTCAACTGAATCGAGACCTTTCATGTTAATATGAATATTAAACAAAAATATTTTCAAAGTGGCGCGATTGAGAAAAACTGGCAAAAATCCAGGGATGGCCACTAGGCGAAGAGTTGCGTCAGTATTTGACAATATTGAATTTTTTTTCAAAATTCAATAAAGTGGAAGATGATCAAAAGATTTGCAGACGGACAATGCGAACTCCGGTGAACATGATTTTGACTGCAATGGCGTCATGCGATACGGTCGTTTTGTTCTCGAATCTCATCTATACAACGCATTATTCATTCGTCGCATTCAAGTACTGCGCACCGAAGCATTGGTCATACTCGTGGGCGTTATTTTTGATTGCTCACGCTCATTTATCGCTCGTTGCGCATTCATCAAGTGTTTGGTTGTCAGGTATGGATATTCTTCATTATCAAGTTGAACGAAATGATTAAATATATGAGATATGATGAATATTCGAGAACAGATTTTTTTATAAAGCAACACGATAAATGATATTAAAATTTCAAAAAAAAATAGTGAACAAATATTTTAGATGAAATTTAATAAGCACACGTAAACAGTGAATAACATGATATTTTAGACTGCAAACATTTAAAACCAGTCCTGACAATTTCTTCTTCGGGACCGGTTTTTTGAAAATTTGAAAAAGCCCCAGCTTTAACAAGTCTGTTAAAGACAAATTGAAAATTATAATCATTTGTTTGTGTGTATAATTTGTTGTTTTTGCAGTAATGCTTGCACTCATCCGGTATATGACGTTACGAAGTAGAGGAAACATGGGCGGTATGCAGGTTTCTCTGAAGCATTCATACTATGCCGTTGCCATTACTGTTTCGTTCGTAGCAATTTTGAATGCTCCAAATTTCTTAAACTACAAAATTCACGAATCACCGTAAGAATTTCCAATACATTTTTAGCCCAATGAATTGCTTCAATATTGCAGACTTAACGAGACTTGTACCGATTTGTCTCCAATTCACTACAACGCGCACGCCTATCTGCCGGGTATCTCGGATGTTGCCAAAGCTAGACACTGCCTCGTTTTTCGACTCTCTTACTGGATTTCCGGTCTGGTGTTCAAAATGCTGCCGTGTGCATTGCTCAGCCTATTCGTTTGGCTTCTTCTCAGAATACTACGAGAAGTACGCGAGAATCGACAGCGATTATTGAAGAGTTCGAGTCGACCTTGCGCGAATAATAACTCAACAAGGAATGGTCAACGTTTGAGCATTTCGGGAGCCAATGAAAAACTGGGAAGGAATGGAAGTCTCAAGACGCGTGGAGAAAAAGTGGATCGAACAACGCACATGCTTCTAGCAATTGTTGCAGTCATGCTAATGACAGAACTACCGCAAGGAATTATGGCAGTTCTATCAGGTATCATTTAATTCTATTCGAGAAGTCGATGAATAATATTGAATATATATTTCAGGCATGCTCTCCGAAGAATTTCGTATTTATGTGTACAACAACCTCGGAGATATTCTCGATCTCTTCTCATTGTGTGGATCATGCTGCTCATTCATTATCTACTGTTCAATGAGTGGACAATTCCGAAATGTTGGTTTTTATTTGTTTATAACACCAAAGAGTTGTAGAATGAATGGCTATCAAAACATTTCGAATAATTTTGAAACGTGTTGCGGATTGCAGGAATTCCATCGTGTCTTCATTCCGACGACAATGAAGTGCGCGAGAATGCACAGCTTAATTCGACGGCCTTCGGATGCCTACAGTACCACCAAGATGACGTTCATGAAAACTGCAAATGACAAGGTAAATGATAATGGGTTCAATGTTTACAACGATGATAGAACTACTAGTGTTAAGGTAATTAGAATAGTTGACGAATTCCTTGTAATTCGGAATTTCAGATGCTCGGTGCTCAGGTGCGAAGGAATAGCAATGAAATCACTAAAATGACAGGGTGTGATTCCCTTACACCATGCACACCAATTCCCTCGTCATTTCCAACAACACCCTTACCATCGAATCGCCAGGATGACATTAGTGATGAGACATCTCATTTACTCAATGGATCAACAAACGAGATCAAGAGTCATTTTCAGAATATTTGAATGTGCATTGTTTGATTATTTTGCGGGTTCGTCTGTTTTTATTGCGAATTCAATTCTCCGACATTCTAAACATTTTAAAGAATATCGGACCAATTGCTATCGTTTTTTTTTGTTCTTAAACTTCATTGAAAATGCGCAAGTGGGTAGAAATGTTCCATTATTCGTCGAATGTTTTGAACGGGTAAATAAACTTATTTTTATTTGATAAATTGTCAAAGAAAAAAAAAACGAGCACACGCACACGCTTAAAGTCTTCAGTATATTGCATGAATGTTATTTACACAATTTCGGCATGCTTCGGGGTGTAGCCGACGACGGTATCGATCGGAATGTCGGTGTCCGAAACAATTGGAATATCGGCAAACAATGCATTGTAGTCTTCCATTAGCGGATCACCATCGGAATCTAGAAAATCTAAAAAAAATTGATCTTTAGATCCATATTCTCAAGTTCAAGCAACTGATTTAAATTATAAAAATGTATGTCATGTGTTAACGTTTACTTTTATCCGCCCGGTAAACTTCTGAAAACTCTGATCTAATTCATTCGTTTGAAAATTAACAATAGAACCGAATGTTCCTAAACGCGCATGGTTGTCTTTTTTCGATAACTAGTCGTATCTCATCTACTGAAATTTTTGCCTCTTTAATATTTCAACAAAAAATGTGCAATAATTTTTTTCTTTTTTTTCGATAATTGCAATAATCAAACGTGTGCTTTGAATTCGAAAAAAAAGTACAACGTACCGCATTTATACCAACACGAGTGGGAAATCGTTAACAAGACGACGGCAATTACGGCGAACGCGAGCACGAACAGTGAGAGAACCGCGAATGCGAATCCGAGAGCAGCGTGTTCTACGACCGTTGAGGAAAGCATCTCGAAAAATTAGATGTTTGATTTATTTTTCCCTTTTTTTTTTACTAAAAACGCCCTTTTTTAAAGGCGAAGAGGAATGGTGAAATTGGCCCCTTGGGCATTGTAAATATTGGATCTGAGCACTTTTAATGTTTCCATTTTTCAGTCCCAAAAGATAATTGAAGTGAGTGACAATTTACAAAAATTTTATTGGTTTTTTTTGGTAAGATATGAAAATATGAAGAAATCGTATTGAAATTTACAAGATTTACATTTTTTCCAGCTTAAAAGAAGTACATCCTAATTTTATTTCAAGTTTTCTCACCAAAAATATGTTCATTGTTGAAAAACTTCGCTGGACTGCATTCCGCCAGAAGCAATTGGATTAATCAGTTATTTTTCCCTAATTTTCGCCATCTTATATTATAGTGTACTTAAAATGTTCAATAATTATTCGAAAAATAGGTTTTAAAAAAATTTAGGTTAAAAAGCTGAATAATACCTTGATTTTCAGCTTAAAACTATTCTATGCGTCCCCCTACCGATGACTTTGAATAAGTTAAATAATTCAGTGTGTTCTGCTTTATTATAATTTTGAGCAAAGATTAAATGTGAAGGCAGAAAAATCTTAAAAATAAGATAATTGCAAATATCGATGCAGACAAACAAGTTGTTGCTCTGAGCAATGTGAACTTTTTAGGTAATACATATTTATTATCAATGTTTTAGCCAATCCCTTTATTTTTTTGAAATAATTCTCATAAAATATGAAATAAATATGCAAAAACCTCGAATGACTTATGAGACATTAAAATTTGCATTATGAAGAGCTCTACAAAACTTCTGACTACCCCAATTTATCATTGGCATCATTTGGGCCTTATTTGGCAGATTTGATATTGCTTAAAGCCGAGGAGGTTAAAAATTGGAGGTTGAAGGCAATGGGCCAAAAATAATTTGAATGCCAGTTTTTCTGTAATTTTCACAGGATTTAATTAGAACTTTAATCTGTTTTTTCTGTTTTTTTTTCTGGTTTCTTTACTAAAACTATACCACCGTTTTGTGCATGGAAATAACAAAATTTGACGCGGACCCGAAAACAATAAACATCCGAAAATTTTCCATAAGTTTAGATTCAAAATGAAATTTTATTGAAAAAAAAAATAATAATAAATCTCCATGATTTCTGAATGGTGAGCAACGATTAATAATGATAATGATTATAATAGCAGAAACTTACTTTTTAGTTTTTGCGCAGTACCAGTGGCATGCCAAGGTTAAAATAGAAAAAATCTGAAAGCAATTGCCTTGAAAAAAAAACAACAAAATTAATTTTGAACATTAAAAAAAATGTAAAACGTGGCGAAATGAGAAATCTTTAAATCACATTCAAAAAATGGTCGAAATAGAATAAAAAAAGTTGAGTGTTTGTATGGGAAAATCAGAAGAAATTCTATCGAGAACGTCTATTGACAAATATTTTCAAAATATTTTCAATGATTACACGAAATTGATATATTTGGGGGCCCAGTATTCTCTTTTTTCAAATTGTTATTCTCAGTTTATTTTTTAGGATTTCAACGTCAAATTAAATTTACACAAATTTTCGAAAAAAAAACACACAAAACGGCAATGGAAGAAAGAGCCCAAGTAACATTAATTGAAGCCAAAATTAGGACCATTTGGTTTGGTTTGCAACAAAAATGCGGACGTTTTCGACAGATGGATGAATGAGGGCACAATTTGTTGTAATGAGACTAAAATGCAAATGTGCTTTTTCATTCCTGGGAAAGGAGAGATTCGACATGAAAAAAACTAGCAAGTAGAAAGAAAAAAAACCCGATTATGCAATTCGTTATTAAATATACATCGATGGCTCGGACACACTTTATTTGCCGAAATTTCATATTCTATTGAGGTAATGTGTCATTGGGTTTTTGTATTGAAATGTCGCAACATACTTAGAGGATCAAAGTATTACCATAAAAGAGTAGTAGTGAATGACTCAACTACAAGTACAAATGGCTATAATCCGGCATAAGAAGTTCATTTCTACGTTTTCGTATTTCTTTCGAAAAATTATTGTCTTGACGAAAAAAACGAGCTCGATTTTCGATGTGAATTTGAAGTCTTAAAACGCATTAATGTGCTCATTAAAAATAATAAGACAGGCCAGATTCATAGTACAACCACTGGAAATTCTTCATTTTCAATAAATAAATTCTGCGAATATTTTTCAGAAAATTCGCAAAATTATTTTTATATAAACATTTGTCGTAATAATTATTTTTCTTCTAATCTTTATTGAATTTTCGAAATAGAAAACCCAACAATTGGAATCGGATGAATACAATTCATAATAATCAACGAATGAATGCTCTAATCGAGCTCGAATTGAGTATCTGAAACGAGAAGTGCGTAAGATTTGCAGATGCGACAGCTCACAACGAAATCTTACACGAAAGTCGAATATCACAATCAGCGATGCCGGAAATGCGAAAAAAGAAAACAACTCGCCTTTTTTTTGAAAAACAAGCAGGAAATTTTGAATAAAACTGAAAACACACACACACCAATGGTATAATGCATACTTGAAGACGAAAATTCGTTTTGACGTTTTCTTGTGAACACCGTCACTTTGCCAGTATTCCACACACCATAGAAAACGAAGAATAGTAGAACAAATTATAAAAAAAAGAAAGAGAACAGAAAGATTCACAATAAATTGGACTAATTATGCGATAACGTCTACTGAAAAAAATGCAGATGCGCGCAAAAAAAAATCTATTGGAATTCGTCGAGAATCACGAAATTCATCAATAAATTATCACCATTCAGTGGCAAAGCTTTTTTTTTAGAAGAAAAAGAAATCAAATGAATCACTTCATTTAAATAAAAAGACATCGGAAGAACGAAAAACGGCAAATAATTCGCAATTTGATTGATTAAGTGTACGCGACAAATGACGAGCTGGAGGACCTTAAGATTGAGGAGCGGCGAGAACAGAAAAAAAACGGAAATCGAATGGAAGTAGGCTTTGGGGCAAGGAAATTAAGACAGGATTACGGTGGAAATTGGCATCAAGTTGACTTTAATGGGACACAAAACATGTTGGAAATGAAAAGTTTTATCGTTTGGGCACGGACCACAAAGCAACGCCCACTTTTCGCGTGTAGGATTACAGGGTGTCATTTAAGTTCCCGCACAACTTTGAAGGCATATATTTCTGAAACTAAAAGTCCAAATCAAACGAGACTCGAAATATTTTTTATCTATAGTATAACAAATAATTATCTATTAACTCTTTTTGATTCGGTCTCCTTTCGCAGCTATGACTTCACGGAGACGCTTCGGATAGGATGTGACTGTGGTACGCAGGTATTCGATGGAAAGATTGTCCCATTCCACCAGTAATGTCTTCTTCAGAGCCTCTATACTTGAGTGGGGTTTTGCGTTGACCTTCTCCTGCAAGAGCCCATCACGGAAAAGTCAAGCGGGTTCAGGTCTGGGGAGAAATCAGGCCATTCGGATGACTTGATGAAGTCGGGAAAATGGGTCTGGCACCACTCCTGAGTAGTTTTGGCAGTGTGGGCGGGTGCTCCGTCCTGTTAAAAAACCTATTTCTGCCCACCGAAATGCGTTTTGGCCCAGGGTATCACATGCTTCTCCAAAATGTCCCGAACGTAGACTTCTTTGTTCACTTTCACCCCCTGATCCGCGAAAACCAGGGAGCACTTCCCGGTTGAGCAGATGGCACCGAAAACCATCACACTGGCAGGATGTGAGGCTGGATGATATGTTCTTCCTTTCTCAGAAGCTTGCTGGGATGTCTGGGCAAGTACTCGATGGTTTTGTGAGTTGAATGCCGCCTCCACAGTGAACAGCTTCTCATCGGAGAAGACAGTGACGAGGTGTTCTCCAGACCGCGTGCGAGCAAGAAGTCGTTTTGCTTTTTCGAAGCGTCTCTACTTGTTGGCGGCCGATAGAATTGCCGCTTTTTGGACACGATATGGGGTCAGTCCAAGCTTCGTTTTGACGATTTGTTCCAAAGCGAAGATGCTCATTCCCATGTCTGACGCCATCTTTCTCATGCTCCTGTGTGGGTTTCGCCTGATCTTCGATTTAACGGCGTTGAACTTCTGAGGAGTGGTTACCGAGACGAGTCTTCCTTATCTGGGACGGTCACTGGTCGTATTTAGTTCCTTGAAACGTTAGATGATGTCGTAAACCGTTCTAAGAGGCACACCGAGGCGTTGAATGATGTCTCTCAGGCTCACATTTTGCTTATGAAGTTCGATAATGGAAGCGCAATGGATGTTAGCCTTCGCCATTTCTCGGAAACACATCCGAATGAGGTAAAACTTGGAAAGTAAGTAAAATATACCTTATTTAACAAAAATAAATTGTATTGGTGCACGAAAAGTGCGACAGCCAAGCTCTTCATGGCGTCAAACTTTTGTGCGGGAACTTAAATGACACCCTGTATTTCGGCAAACATGTTTACTTTCATTTCTGAATTGCCCGTGCATAGAAACTCTCGTGCATTCTTTCTCATTACACAAAAAATGACATACCCAAGATCTATAGAGAAGAACGAAAACGAAACTAATTAAATAGTGTGCAAATCAGTTCAAAGGGACCACTACAACGTATACACGTCCATTTTTATTTTTTGCGAGAAGCAGAGGAAAAAAACAAATATGGAAACAAAATTAAATTAAACTTGAAATCCGTCTCTCTTTTTTTGACTCGGCACACTTACTTTAAGTGTTCGAATGAAAAAAAAAAACTCATGAATACAAAACAAAGTTTTTTCCTCTGAGCAGAGCACATAAAAAATCATCTCTTTTGGAGAGAAAAATGAGCTTTTTGAGTTAGTTATCATGACACTCCATCTCATTTTTCGGTTTTTTTTTCGTCATCTTCTCCATTATGAGACAATCATATTTATATTAGAAGACTAATTTATTGGTTATTTTGCGGACATGAAATAAAAGTAAAAAAAATATCAGCCAATAAGAAATCCTAGAATGTTTCCAACGAGGCCACCGTGAGCTGCCCACATTGATCCAGCTCCGACGATGCTTCCGGGATAATATCCGCCAGGTAATGGGAATATTCCATTACTCATTGTCGGGTAATATCCACCATAGCCGCCATATCCGCTGTATGTCTAAAATTGTTCAATTCAGTTTGAATATATAATTTAATTTTGTGTAAATATTTACGAATATTTGAGACAAAATACTTACAAAACAATTTTAAATTTATATACATATCATTTAGTACTAAGTTAGAAGAATAACTAACCGGATAATTGTATCCAGATCCATAATAATTGGTTCCGTATGTGTTCCCATACGTGTTTCCATATGTTGTTCCATATGGGACATAGTACAGCCTCTTTGCTCTTATCTTCACATCATCGCTATCCGAGGAATCGAGCCCGCTCTAAACTGTGGACTATTATTCAATTTTCTAGTATGATTAGTACCTGTCGCTTGACAACAAATGTCGAAGCCGAAACACAAAAAATGATCAACTGGATAAGCGGAAAATAAAATCGCATCTGAAACGAAATCGCATAAAAATAACATAACTTGCTATGACATAATCTGCTTAGCTGACGAACAGGACGAACATTTGTTGATTGGAAATCTAGTTTTGATATTTTCAATAAAAGTATTCAAAGACGAAATTCGTTATTTTTCCTCGGCAAACATGCCAATATGAAGACGTCGGTTGTCAAGGTCGCGACCTACCCAATTTGCGGATTATTCTCTGTTACCGGAATTCGTAAGACGACGCCTCTTTTATTGTTTTTCGATTTATTTATTTCTCAATTCAAAATCACATTGAGCAACAATACAATAAGAACGAAAGAGTTGGTGGACGGAATAATCAAAACACATGCAAATCGATATATACACATACGATTATGTTATAAATAATAATGTGAAGAATATTAGATCAGAATGGTTTGATTAAGGCTAATAGGTGGGTCCAGCATATGATGAATAAGCATTTCCTCCGACCTGAAACGAAAATAAAAGTTCTTTCAAAATGTGCAAATTGAGGAGTGCCTGTGATGGTGCGTAGCCTCCATTTCCGTATTCAACAGCTTCTCGTTCTTCTTTTCGTTCTCGATTTTTCGAACGTTGATAGCAACAAATCATTAAGCATGTTCCAACAACAAAAACAAGAAGAACAAATGCGAGAAGAACGTAGACACCGACCATCCTAAAATAAAATGCTCACATCAGAATCTGAATTTTTACGAATATCTTAAAATTTACCACATACACTATAACAATAAGGTAATATATTTAAGAGTCAAAATATTTCGAATTTCGAATAACGCGGTTTGTAATTAATGTTTATCTTCAACTAAACTCTTTTAAAGGAATTTGTTGAGATGCCCACTCAAAAGGTGCGCCGCTTGAATGTGCAAAGTAAACACATAAATACATACATAATCTTTTTTTTTAACTATTCAATTTGAACTAACCAATGTTGGTCTTTAGGACAGCAACCATTTTCACAGCATTCCTGATCACGTTCGCAACTAAAATAAATTAATGAAACCCATTTCCCATTTTGCTATCAATATCTCACACTAATGTTACTGTATTGTTGTTAGTGCGTTTCGCTTCATAAATACATCGAACGAATGATGAAAATCCACCTGAAAACGATCTCCTTTTTGATTTTAAATTCATATTACAAAAAAAGCAAAACCTTCCAATTCCATTCGTATAAACTTTCCAATGGTGCCATGCTGAAAAACCTCGTCTGGCCCTGTTCCAGCGACTTGTCCCATTTGCTGAAGAGTTGCGACATTTTGGTTGACAGTGCTCCCGCCAGCTGCCGACATTATCGAATCCGGAGCAAGCGCTGCGTTCTGTCTTAAAATTAATGAATTGAAAACATAATTATAAAAAGAGAGAGAATAAATAAAAATATACGCATAAAGAGTCGGATTCGAAGCGGCGCTGCTCAATGGCAGCCCATCCCAACGGTTGATCATGGGTGCTTATTCCCAATCTAAAGTGAGGTTAATTTTGAATCAATCGATTATTGTGAACCTTTCCCGCACCCATTATTTCCATGTTTCTATATGAAAAGTCGAAAACGTGGTAAAAACTAAATGATGGTGATTGTGGTGTGATAATATTTGTTTTGAACTTGACATATTTGACAAGTGAGGAGTGACACCTCAAACCCTTAAAAGCAACATATTGGACTCGTTTGGAAAGAATTGCCAATCAATAAACGCTGGTTCGATTCGAGAAAAGCATGAATGCAAGTTGGCACGAGTGGTGCGCGCGCGGCGCCCGCGGAGTCCGCTTGCTTGCATCATCATCTTAAGAGCAATGCGGCGCGGCAAAAACTTGGACGATAGTGTGCACCGAACGAGCGAAACACAGGTCGCGCGAATGCCTCGTGAGAGTGTCTTTAGGCTCGTCGTTTTTGCAACGAATGAATGGAATGGTATGCCAAACAAACATGCCTGAAGAATTTCCATGAATATAATCTCTTTTGTTTCCTTCACTGATATTCGAAATTTCAAAATTGGACATAAAAATTTCAATTATTATTATTTGGAACCTCAGTTTTCTCATCGAAATTTTCAAGTATTCTTTAATTATTTAATTTCAAATATGTATTGTCGTGGATAGACGAAATTAAGAAGGGGGAGTCCTTACGAAAAGAAAAATTCAAGTCTTGCAAAATATTTCAAACGTATCTAATTTACATTGAAAATTACAGTAGGAAGTGCACGCAAAAATATGTTCACATCGCGAAATAAAGTTTTTTCTTTGCGTTTGACAATTCAAAATTCTCAAATCGGTCCATCTTCTACAAAAAACGTGTATAAAAATTAAATTATTATTTTAATTTAATATATCAAAAACTGTTAAGACACAAAATTATATTTATTAATAAATCAGTAAACGTGCTAAGTTTTCGCTTTTTTATACAGACTGCAATTTTTTTTTAAATTATATGTGCATAGTTTCATATCTAAAAAAATTATTTGACAACGTAAATATAATTCGAAATTTAAAAAAAAGGGACTTTGATCATCAATTTCAAAAAAATTGAGAAAAAAGTTCACAAGTTCGCATAAAATGTTCTACTAAGCTCTTAAACATATAGCAAAACTCGTATAGCGTTCAAGAGCATGAATCAACCCTGAAACCAGTTGCGTGCACTCTGAGTGTTCGTCTTGACAAATATTGGCGGAAAAATGTGGTTGCGGAAAAGGTTGCTAACAACAAATTGTTACCTGGGTACTTCTTTTTTTATTCGTTTCCTCTTCGGAATCCTGCAAAAATTAAACACCAGCGTCTTATTTCAGAGATACGATTTATCGAAAAGAGTTGGTTGGACAAGTGGGATTATAAAAATTGAATTGCAACGGTGTTTGCTTCGTGATTCGCGACCGAGAAGTGCTCGCACTTCGATACTCGTGATTTAATAAATAAAATATTTGGGTTCGATTCATCGAGTGAAACCATTTATGGATGTGAAGTGGTTTTTCCGCTAGAAAAAAAACAAATTAAATGGAAGTGGATTAGATGTCCACATTATTCTATTTTATTTTAATTTGTACCATTCAAAAAGTTAAAGTATGCCATAACATTAGTAACTCAAAGGCTGATAATTTATTTAGAAAAAAATTCAAATTACAAATTTGAATATAAGGAAACACAATGAAAACAAAAATGTACCTTATGAATATATATATATATGTATATATATTTTTTTAAAATAATTTTTGGTAGAAGGAAAAGCTGAAAATGACAAAAGAAATATTTGATTTCGAAAAATGCGTTATACTTTGTTTTTTTTTTAAAAACAAATGATATTAAATGATTAAAGACTATAGAAAAATAAAAGAAATCTGTGGCATCATGGGAGAATTTTTTAGACAAAATTCCTTATACATTAGCCTTTAAAAAATTTCAATGAATATAAGTTGATATTATGTTGCAAATAAGGAAATGAATGAAACGCTCGAGGAAAATACCAAACCGAAAAATTTCCGATTAAAATGCGCAACGTCTGTCGGCGAAGTTCCGCTTCCCATCATCGTCATACGATTTTTTGCACAAATTCTGATCATGAGCATGATTTGTTTGATTAGCCGCATGCTGTCACAAAACACTTTAATTTGATCATGAATTTGAGAAAGGAAAATATCTACAATTGAGAAATAACAAGTAGGGGTTAAGACCAATTCACTATGTTTTTTTTCCTTTTATGCGCATGTTTGCACTTTGGATTTCCGGGTTAGGACAATGCGCGGAAAAAAAACGTGAAGAAGTGAACATCGCAATTGAATATATGCACAAACATATAAGGTCTCGATACGAAGGCTCTTATACGCATATTTATTTGCTTTCAATGTATCGATGATGATTAAGTGGAGCTCAACATGCAGTGAAATATTATCAAAGCCTGAATATACAAAAATCGGCGTACTGTGAGACAACCTATTCCGGTAGTTTGTATACTGTATATAAAATGGTCTCTTTAAAAAGAGAAGAAATCGAAGATAAAGAGATAATTTTTTGAATAAAAAAAGAGAACAATTGTGCAAATTCAGACACTACAAATTCTGATATGTTCGAGATAATTATTCTTTAAATTGGACCATTCCATTCGAAAAACCAATTTATATTCTTTCAGGAAGATTTACGCATAGTCGCAATTAGCTCAAGCAAAAATAATCAATTTCCCGATAAACTTTTAATCAAAGCGTTACTAAAAGATGAAGCTAAATTTATAGGATCAGACGCATACTATATATACAAAAAGATGTTGATGAACAAACATTCGACCGAAAATGGCGGCATCGATTGTCTATAGCTCGATTGAACGCGGATATCGCAAACAAAGCTTGATTTGGACAGCCTCCAACCTTGATTTATGCATTTGTGTGTACAAGGTTTTTGAATGTTTGTTGTCCTTCGCACCGAGTGATTAACAAAATACATAAATGCAACATTTCTCGAAGCTTTTATTCCAATTATCATTTCATTTCGCCTAGCGTATAACTGTCGAGTCTTAAAACGGCATATTTGTTCGTCTAAATGCATGCAGTCAATATGAATGTATACAATCGACATTCCGTATAGAAACTTCCACTGAATAGGCTGTCTCAATGTGCCACCAACACCTGCTCAGATTTGGTGTTTTATTCGGCCCGGCCGGTGTCGATGCATTTCATTTATTTTTTGTTGTTAATTTGTCGAGCTCTAGTCGTGATATCGAATGACATCCGAACCCGGCGACGGCTCGTGCGAGAAGCCTCAACAAACACATTTTTGACATTCACACATTGCCGTCTCGCGCTAATTGTTCCAACAATTTTAGACATTTTCTTCAGAATGGTGTCTTCACTAACTATTAAACGCCTATTATCTTCAACTGTTGATGGTTTGTTTCTTCTAGTATGCATATAAAACAATTATGCTATTAAACGAGTTTAACCAAAAATTTTCTAAAACAATAATAGAAGAACATTTATGTTTAAAATAAATAATCCAATGCGGATTTAAATATATTGCAAAATGAATGTGTTCTTCTAGGTACTGCTCATTTGTGCGTCTATGATGCAAACCACAATGGAGATGATCTCACTGTAACTATCTCGTATGTTTCCGTTTTTCTTTTTTCTTTGAACTTTCAAATATTTGGGCTTTCAAAATTACAAATCTATTTAAAAACTTCAGTTGTCCGACGGCCGCTGGATGCTGTGAAAAAGGATGCTGTAAGCTTCCAGCCCAGTAAATATATTCGTCATTGTTAGAAAATAAATTGATATTTTTAGTTTCATATCTGACCATTCCAATGTGTCCGCGATGTCAGAAGAACCAATCAATTCAGCAAGTCATGTCAATGAGACAATTCTTCTGATCACACTCACAATAATGGTTTTCTTTTTTGGATGTGTTTCGATTCTTTTTATTTTTAGAAAGGTTTTTGTTTATTATTTAACCGTTTTCATTAAAAACAAATTATTATGATAGGTTCAAAATCTTCGCGACAAAGTAGAAGAGCCTGACTTCGTCTATCATGCTTATCGTCAGCCATCGCCGAATGTAAGTGAGAAAGCGGCTGCGAAGAACATGACGAATGTGATTCTGACCGACTACCGTGACCTCTCTCATTTTGAATCCCAATAAAATTCTACACGTTTTATTGTGAAACAAACCGGAAAAGTTTCAGACGGTGTCTAGCGATATATACGGATCGCCATGCTGAATTCGAATAACAACCGACTAACAAATATTCATGCATGTATCAATCTAATTAATAATAAATTTATTCACAAATTATATTCGAAATAAATTGAAGAAGAGATTCCAATCCACTTTTTATTTTATTGCGTCTTCTTCAATTTCAAGTCTCGACATTTACTAGATTAGAGTTAGATAGTCTTTTGATTTGAGTTTCATATTCTGGATTATTCTAAATTGGCAATTTATGTAGTAAATATAACACCTACACATCAATTGGAAATAATTCTTTATATATCACTCTAACATACATACACACACAAATCGAACTTGAATTTTTTTTATCAACCAAATTTTTATTTATCAACATGATATTGTTCATAAAATATGAGCCATTTATCGCCATCCTTCTTCCAAATATGCATCACATCTCCTTTGACAATCACCTCGTTCGAGTTGACTTTCACTAGTTTCATTTGAGATTCCACTGTTATCCAATCTCCACCACCACTGTACTTTTCATTGTATCTCTAAATACCATAAAAATTACTTCTTCCATTCAATATTCTAACATTAAAGTAATATGGGCCAGTGAAAGAATACCAGCGTTTGAATAAGTCGGTTAGCGCTGAAAAATTGCTGATAAGAGCTTTTATCAGTGACTGCTGTTCAGACCTTCTTTTCCGAAAGTCGATGATACGTCTCTTTGCACAATTACTCCTTGTGGGTGCATAAACTCCATCGAGCCTTTAGCATCAGCATTTTCCGTTGTTTTGTTGAATCCTTCGTAATATGGTCTTAAGATTGCTTTGAATTCATCTTCCGAATAGAGCAAATCTGAATATGAATTTAATTGATTTTGAAATTAGCAAATCTTTCTTCAAGTAATTGATATTAAAATGAAATTAATCGTGCTCATTGAAACAAAAGTCGCGACAAATTTATTTCGTAATTATCCCTATATATTTAATTTGAACTATTGCTAAAGAATGCTTGCATATGCCAAACAAATATCCTAAGGAAATGTCGCATACCAATAGTACTTCGTGAAGCAGAAATAGCGGGGGTCTCGAAGATCATTAATAACCAATTGCCTAATGCTTAAACAAGGCCCTTTTATAAAGAGCCCCAAACCCGGCCCACTTTCTACGTAGTACGAGTTAATAAGTGTAGCAGATCAACCAATTCTCACGTCGTCACTTCACAGTGGGAAATGTAGAATTATTTAGACATTAACCGAATAAGCAGGATAATCAGAGATCGAATTTAATATAAATTGAATTACACCGATGAAATGGACTTATAAGGAAGTTTAAATATCAAAAAAAGTTTAGGAGATCAATTGTTGCAATCAAAACGAGATTATCATTGGAACCATATTGGTTATTAGTGGTGGCGCAATTTTCAAAAGTTTCCTGTTTCTATTTATTTATCCCTAACTGCAAATTTTGAAGCGCAAAAAAAATGGGGGTGGTATCATAAATAAAAGGAGGGGTTGAAAAGTCGGGATGGAATAGCAGGGATGGGGTGGTTTCTAATAGACCTCATTTCATTGAGATATTCGAGTTTGAGTGGTATATTTTTTACTAACGGAAGATTGAAACTTTCGATCAACAAAAACATAGGTTATTTATGACTTCAACTCAAAAGATCATAATTAAATAATTGTCATTCTCGAAATTACAAAACTGACGGTACGAAAAAAACTAGTAATTAGCTGACTCATAGATGTATTCCAATAAAACCATTAAATGACGTCTGAATTTTCAATGTTGCTTATTTATAATTTAAGAATTAATTAATTGAAACGAAAAAATCTATTTATACATATTTGTTAAACGAATTGTGTTATTTGTGGGATTTAAATTAGACGAACATATTAATCAAACGATGTTTCGGTGAAACGATTCTTATCGTTTCGTTTCAATCCAATTTAAGCCACATATTGCACATAACGACGCCTCTCTTCAGACTTTAATGAATTCCGAAAAAACGGACGAACTGGTTTAAAGGTAGTAATCCTTCGCATTTGTTTATTTTGAAGCGACTTGCACCCGTTCGCCTTTTCACAATAATGCTCAACAATGAGTTTATTGCTGACTTCGAAATGAAACTGGGTGCGTCATTTGAATACGTATATTTTCGTCTCATTCTCAACAAATTCATTGCCAAAACGTTGTTTTTTTTTAATATACATATCCGCGTAATTTTCGCAGGTTATGTCATGAGAATGCAAATATGGTTCCTCGTATGACAAATTATATTGAAAATAAATAAAAATTTTAATCATCGACCAGCCGCAGTTTTAATCCATCAAACTTTGAACGAATCGGGAAAAAAATTGGCGATGAGGATATGAAATTTAATATTTCGGCCACATGATCGACGAAACGTGTGTTCGGATTTCAGCTAAAAATTGCATTGACACCCACACAGAACAGCCAGGAGAAACCATTTTTATAATTGCGTCTTGTTCACATGATACGAGGCCTTCGTTTCGAAAATGAGAGGTTGGCTCAATTCCTGAAATTCTCCTCACTCCATCTTCGTTTCGTTTGCTGCCCTCTCGTCTCAGGCATCATTAGTTTGAACGCTACGATTTTTTGCCCCGGAAAACAAGAGTGTGGTGTGTGTGTGAGCGTATTGATCTTCCCTCTTCAAATTTATTGATTTTGCAATAATTGTATGTAACTAAAATGATGAAAGAAACAATTCGTTTTTTTTTTCAATATCGATTTAACACACATTTAAATTGTTCATGAGTATCGTTACGTGAAACCATTTTACTGCAATCGTTGGCAATCACACTTCTAAAGCCGTCCATGTATTTGGGTTTAACTTTGTCAATTGTGAACACTTTTAAATTCTGTTTTCAAAATTGAATTCAGGGCTAAAAAATACACATGTATACCAATTTTCATAAAGATATCTGAAAAATTGGCCAAACAATATCGAAAACACTGAAAATTGGTCACTTGCAACCGTTTCACATTTATAAACATTTAAGATTTATAAGAAAACAGAATTTAAAAATTTTCACAATTGCAAAAGTTAAGCTAAAAAGCAGGGGTGGTTTTATAAATGTGAAACGCATTGTATTTGATCCCATTTCTTTTTTAACAAAAACAATTAAGCTTTGATGTTTTGAATAAAATTGCAATGTTCTGAAAAACATTGATCAAATTTTCATTTATTGCAAAAACTGGTCACGAGGGTGTGAAATTTCATATTCGGGGAGATCTTTTCTAGGTTTTTTGAATTTCGCAACTTTCAACAAATCAATTTCCATTTAAAAATTATAATGCATACTATGCTGCGCAAAAATATAAACTTTCTCAGTTTTTTGAGTTTATCATTAATAAAATTCTGTTTTTTTTTTTTCAACTTACTTACTTACTTACTTACTTAGTCACTTAGTCGGTTCGTCCTTCGCCTGTTGAGGCGCGAACCACAGCTTTCCAAGCTTTTCGGTCCTTGGCTTGGGTGGACCAGGGGGTGATAACGGCTCCTTCAGCTGTTCTTGTAGTGATCTCCTTCCGAAGCGAGTCCGACCATCTCATGGGAGGCCTTCCTCTTGGCCGGGTCCAATTCCACGGCCGCCACTCCGTTAGAAGAGTAGTCCATCTTCCATCTGTTCTTCTAGCAACGTGTCCAGCCCAGGTCATCTTCCTCTTCGTGATGTGGTGTAGGGGGTCCCGAACTTTAGACATGATGCGGATGTCCTCTCGATGAAGATCTTGTTCACGTTGTTGTGATAACGTGAGGCCAACCAATCTTCGCTCAAGCGCAGCGTGACTAATTCGGACTCTCTCGGCAAGAGCTTTGGTGAAGGTCCAAGTCTCTGATCCGTAAGTCAGCGCTGGGAGAACGATGGAATCGAAGAGCTGTGCGCGGGTTTTGTTACAGGAAATCAAATCGGTGGTGTTCTTGATTCCATTAAACGCTGCCCAAGCTGCTCTTCTCCTTCGGAAGATCTCCTTGACTAGCTCGTTTTTGGGGGTGAGTAGTCTTCCAAGGTACACATATTCGTCAACATCGTCAATGATACTGACCGAATTCTGGTGCGTTAGGGTAACCTTGGCGGAGTCTGCGAAGGGGTTACGTAGGACTTTGGTCTTTCCAGCGTTAATCTGGAGCCCTACTTGTTCGCATCTCGCAACCATCTCACTTAGCATTTTTTTCAAATAAAAGACAATAATCATAAAATTGGTTCGATCTTAAAGAATTATAAATTTTTATACCATTTGATACCAATTCTGAAATATTCTTTTTTTTTAAATTTTAGAATTGTATTGTATATCTGAAAAACGGTTTTCTGTTTAAAATAAACTTGCTACGGTTTCTCGAAATCCCGCACGCGAACGCCCCGGACTACAACGGCTGATTCTGGAAGCCGTATTTTTTGAAACGAACTATACTGTTTTTTCAAGTCTTCCTATCCTGTTGTTCACTATAGAAGCTCTTTTTCTTTATTTTTCATTGATTTTGTGTGTTTTTCTGATGTGACGAATTCTTAAAAAAAGATGAAACTCGAAAAATTAGGAAATACTATGCGGAACCATCATATTTAGCAAGGTCCTTTTAACTGGTGACGATATTCTTATTTTGTTCAAGTTTTTTTTCTAGTTTAAATATTCAAGCGAATTGTATAATCAGTAATTTTTTTAAATTTAAAATAATAAAAAAAAAACATTTATTTGTAAATTCTTGATTTCACAAGATGTTATTCCGTACGATTCAAATATGCGGTTTCTCAGCAACGAATCGAATTTTCGGCAGTTTTTTGCCAATACAATTCATTCAAGCAAAAAATCTATGTATTCGCATTATATTTGACTGTGCAATTTCCCTTGTTTTTCTCGATAAATATAATAGTTTATTTTCATATGGCAAATAATGCCAATAACATGAAGCAAATACATAAACCTAAAAAATTTGAATTTTAAATTCGACCTGTGACTACTAATCTTTTCATACTAAACTCTCCCCGAAATATGTATAAATGGTTGGTGTCTAGTTGTTCTGTGATTTCATATTGATATATTTCGACTCTTATTGGTATTTGGTTGTTTCAGGAATAATGAGTACAACCAACTCAAACTCGTCGTCGGACCTTGAAGTTCATGATGAGCAAGCGATCAAAGGGGTTATTTTCGACTACGGAGAGGTCATGTGGATGCAGTCAAGAAATGTTCATGTCTATCGAAGTTTGTGCTCATCGAACCTATGCATGTTTTTTTTCCATTATTTGAACATTCGTCTTCAGGAATTGAAGAGGATAACAAGCTTTTCGAGAACTCATTGATACCAACCCTTCTCGGAAAGGAATTGGCGAATATGCTTCCAAATGGATTTTATGAGGACTTATTGACTGGAATTTACACCGCAAAGGATTTTGACAGACTTTTCCTGTCTGCTTACAACCGAAGGGTACTTGTCTTTTGAATATTTCCGTCTTTGACCATTTTTGTTTAGTATGGAAGTGCTTTTGAGTCATTAAAATTTTTCTCAGCCACCCAGTATGATGAAGACGCTGTATATGTGAGTTTTCCGGGTATTTCAAAAAAAAACTTCAGAAACATTAAACAGTTTAATCTTAAATGATACCATAAAACTCGTTATGTATGCTTGTTTTTTTTTTTTTTCAGCAAGCCCATGCCTATATGAAAGTTGTTCTTAAATTTTTCTTATTTTACATATAATTTTTGAAATTAACTGGGAACAATTTATTTTTCAAGTAAAAAAATTCAATTTTCAAAAAAATAGAGATTCGTGTTATTCACAGCTATTTTTGGTTTTTAGGAGGAAGCCGTTTTAACTGCGTGTTTAAAACTCCGAGAGCACAATATAAAGACAATTTTGCTCCTCGATACTTATCATATCGACGAGCAAAGAAATGGTCGCCGAATTCCAAAAATGGACATGTATTTTGATTACGTCATTGAATCATGCAAGGAAGGATACAAGAAACCTGATCCTAGATTTTATAAAGTAAACGCATAGTCATCCTTTGGAATAATTCACGCAGTTTTCTATCAGGTTGCTCTAAACCAATGCGATTTGAATCCAGACGAAGTGATTTATATCGATGATCTGAAGGTTAATTGCGAAGCAGCAAGAGAGTTGGGAATGCGTTATATTCAAGTATTCAATAGTATGGATATGCTGGAAGATCTTCAGGAAATCATTGGCTTCAATCTCGAGTAGCTCGTGATAAATCAAATCATTCCACTAATTAAACAATTGAATCATTCTTGTTAGTTTGATGTACAAATCCAATTTCCGCCCTAAATCAAACTGTTGTTATTGTATAAAGCCGGTGTATTAAATGAAGAGTTTGCATTTGTATTTGATTCCGATATCGCAACAAGACCAGCCTAACAAGAAGAAGATATTAAGAAGTTAACTTATCAAATTATTCGATGACTTAATACGCCCAACAGGATTGATTGCCGTCCCATAATTTAACGCGATTGTTTTTCACATCGTCAGTTGTCAGCCGATGATTTTGCCATGGCTCGTCGTTCTTATTGGGATACCTCAGATCATCAATTGCTTTTGCAGTGGTAATTTTCGTTTTAAAACTAATTATGATTCTCGGATTATTAGACTCAACAAAAGACGTTAATAAATCCTGTCAACGAATCAAGGATGCCAGATTTCAAATTAGAGGCGTTCGGGTTGTTCCAATGGTAATGCTCCAATCGATCAAAATGCGACAGTTTCTGATTTCAGTGGCAGTTTATGTTGCTCAATGAGCCATTGCATCGTGTTAAACGGAATAGTTTGAACAACACGGAGATGAATAATTTGCTAAGGGTTAATTGGTTGTTTCATTACGACAAAACAAATTCGCGTATTATAGTTAAGCCCTCAACGACCTAATATATTGATTCGGCCTGTGGATTCAAATGTCAGAAAGACACCACATTTTCCGTACTATAGCAGGTTGACAAAGGTATATTTCAGGGGGTTTCGCACTTTGGGCCCTATAAGATCTCATCTCTATTGAATGATCTAAAAGGATTGAATGCTTCAGACATCGAAAATGTTTTCGATTGATGTATCAGCTGGTACGGAAACGCATGACGATAAACCTAGCCCTTCGAGAAAATTCTAACGACAAGATTTCTATCCAACAGCTCCGCCAGAAGATTCGACAACAACTGCATATGAGGGAGAAGAAGCTACATCTTCAGAGGATAATGTGAAATCGCCAATTAAAAAGGCTAAAAATAAAAAGGGGAAAAAATCGAAAAAGGTTGTACAAAATTGTTTTTTTTTTTTATTTCAAAGATTTTCAGACTCGTGGAAAGAAAAAATGCAAGAGCTGTAAGAAAGTTGTGGAAGAAAAAAAATGTGAAGGTCGGTCATTTGAAGTAATTAATAATTGCGATGGAGATTTTAGCGTGTGCTCCAAATTCTGAACAAAATTCGGAAGCAGAAGAAGAGATTGTCGAAACGGCATTGAAGAAGAATTTGAATATCCAGATGATTCCTAAAAATCATGATATTAAATCAACTACAGTTGACCCAGAGGAACAAGAAGAACCATCTGCGGACGAGAAATCAGAAGTTGAACAAGAAAATGACGAGGAAGACATTGAAGAAAAGACAATTGAAAATAATGAGGAGAGTAATTTGAAAGAAACCGAAGAAGAATCAGAAGATGGCAAAGAAAAAAGTGAAGGTAGTGAAGAAGAAGAACAAGAAGAAGAAGCTGAGAATTTGGACGTTTTCTCATATGTCAATAGAGCTGCTCAAAATCGACTGATGCGGATACAAGTTGTTCGCGGAAAAGGAGTTTATCCCAATGGAACAGATATCAAAAACGACGATAAAGAAAATAAATCTGAATATGAAAACAATGTGAGAATAAAAACAAAAAACTGATCATAATTATTTAATATTCAGATTCGAAAAGTGATGAAAAGTGCGAAATACATGGATAAACCAAATGTCAAATATTCATATCCTCCAAAGGATACTGTTCCACTTCAAAACTGTTTCTACAATCCTTCTGGTATCGGTTATCTAAATTTAGCATCATTTTGTTGTTTTAGGGTATGTTTGTTGCAATTTGCAATTGAATAATGTTATCGAAGAAGCCTATAAAGAGATACGAGAAGCGCCGGATTTTAATTCATGTAATCTTCAGAAAATCGCTAATAAAGTTCAGGTAACGAGTTGAATCTTTCGAATAATTTTGTTTCTACAATTTTTTAAAATTCGGCTAATTCTTGCAATTGCAGCATGTCTCTGAAAAAGCATTCGAGCATCCTTTTGAAACTCTTGTCGCTCATGCTGATTTTGCGCAAAACATCAATTTTGCTGGAGATCTTGTGTGCAAACTAGAAATCGATGGAAAATATTTGATTGCCTATGGAACACCATATCGTGCTGAGGACGCTGTTGGACCAGAAAAACCAGACGGCCAGCATTTACCGGCTGTTTAAATTACTGTTATTTCTTTGTGTTTAAACAATCAAATCAATTTAAAACTGCGGTATTTGGTTGTTTCAGGAATAATGAGTACAAGAAAATGTTTCAAGAAAATGTCGCACTTGGTAATGTGGCTCCTTATTTTTTAAGAGATCTTTTCCAATAAAGACTGCAGCAATGAAGGCAACGAAGGAAAAACTTCATAAGAAAATCAGAGGTCTTTACACAAAACTAAGTGTAGACTTACGAGTTAAGCATAAATTAGCATTTTTACCTAATTTTTTGTTGGGTTCAAACGAGTGATCTGCTGGGAAAGCCTGACGGCTCGAAGTCACCTGACCTGGCTGTGCTGTGTCGGTCCTGGTCGGAGAGTTTATAATGCAGATTCATTTAAAGTGTAAAAAAAAACATCGCCAAAAATTTAAGAGTTGGCGAAACATGAATCTGTCTAAATGATCATGCGCACATCGCCTCGGCACCCTAATTTTTTGGTATTTAGCCAATTTTCCAATTATGTCATTTATAAATATGTATTTTTTAAATTTATATACAGCACATTCAGAATTGGAGTGGAACTACGCGAAACTCTGTTCACCACTTATGGCTTCAGATTTTGTCGCGCACATGAGCGCGCAAATTCTGCGCCATTGATGATATTGGCTAGCGTGTTTTCTGTGCTGACATTTTTCTTTAGTGATGTGTCCTCGACAAACTCATCGGGTGCAATACGAGGAAGTACCAGCTTGTTCGTGAAACCCAAATCTTTTCTATTTTTTGAATGTATTTTTTGCTCAAAATTTTGCCACTGTTTCGCGAAAGAGGAACCCTCGTTTCACCAAATTGATTTGCCTTGTTTTTTTATATTTTTTGTTTATTTCTCAATTTAGAAAATGTATTATTTGCATAATTTATAGGAACCATGGCCGAAAATGTGGAAATGAAGGACGTTTCACAAGATGCTCCATTTCCAACACTTTACATTCTTCAGGTACGTTTGTTGAAAAACTAATTTAATCTTTCAATGTAAAGAACGGACGTTAACAAATTCTTATTATAATTATAGTTAATGCTAAACGCTTAATAGATTATTTTTTAACCGGATTGCCAATTAATTAAATAATTAAGGTCGTCAAAGATGCTCAACAACAACATGGTCTCAGACACGGAGATTATGCAAGATATCGTAAATATTGCACCGCAAAACTTCAGAGAATGCGAAAGGCACTCAAGTTCACCAATACCTATAATTGTCAAAAGAAACGCAAGGCTAAATTTGTTAAAAAATGGTTGTCAGAAGAGACTTTGGGAAATGCGCAACATTTACATATCGGTATATTTGAATCGGAACGTCGTTATGCTCTTGCTATGATTGAAAAGGTATTAATTAGGGAGAAATAGGCATGAACGTATCTATTGAATACAGATGACTCTTGAAGACAATCCAGAAAAGGCTAGAAAACGTTATGCGATGATAAACAGCTTGAAGAGAGCTGTCCTTCACGCCAATAATTTAGAAAATATTGTTGTGGGTAGTTCAAAGGTGAGAGGATATTTGCAAATATAAAATTTTTATATTCTGGTTTAAGTGTGATGCTCCAACTAAACTCGAAGCGCAGGCATATGCAGCGTGGATGCGTGGAATGTGCTCTTTCGAATCGCGCGATTGGCAAAAAGCCAGCGAGTCGCTCAAACTCGCCAGGACAGTTTACGACAAACTAGCCGATGCTACCAATAATACCACTTTAACAACTCTCTACAAGGGAAGATGTCGCGAAATTCAACCGCAACTAAGATTGTGCGAGTTCAACATTGCGGAAACTCCAGAAGCTGTCGGAACTATGTCGGAGCTCATGGAATTACGTTTGCAAATGGGAGAAGGCGGAGACTCGTCAGTAGACGTACGATCTTTTAAATTTATTTGGTTTATGTAATTTTTCCAGAAACTTATTTCCGAAATGCGTGCAACGGCCGCTGGTGCTGAAACTGTGACCATTGAATGGGGAGGAATGAAGAGCACCGTCGAAGACGAAAAGGCGCGACAAGTTCTCCAAGGATGGAAACAGTCAGAAAAGGAATTAGCGCAATGCCAAACTCCAAAAGAAAAGATGGCTTTGTATGAAAAAGCTACAGCTGATAGCAGAGATGCTATTGACAAGATTAGTGATGCGATTAAAAGAAAAACCACAGAGAATGCTGATACTACGGTAAATTTGCATTCTCAAACACATTAGAAAGTTGCTTTTTTGCAGGTTCTTCAATCCATCAAATCTTATTTGGAATTTTTGAAAATGAGTGGAACTGCTTCCAGATATCTTGCTATAATCGAGAACACTAGGTGAATAAAAAGATATACTATAAATAACATAATTACTTATCGTTGTAGAAATGAGAAGAAAAGCAAACCACAAGATCTCCTTCGTTTATACGATTCTGTCATCGAAATTTGCAAGGAAGTTCCTGAAATTCCAGGAGCTGAGCACGACAAGGCATTGATTCAAGCATTCGATGCGAAAGTCGAGTACTACAAAGCTTTTAGGCAAGTGGTGTTGCTTAATTTCTTACTTACTTAGACTTCTTAAATAATATTTTTTTAAATGTATTCCAAACCTATTAATTGAAAAATGAATGTTCCCGTTACATTTAAAAAATTTTAGATGCTTTTACATGGCTTCATCTTACGCTGCTTTGAACAAGAACGCTGAAGCTTCTGCGTTGTTTGACAGGACATATAGCAGAATTCAGCAGGCTGACGCGCTAATCAAGAAGTTGAAAGACAATTCTTATTTAAAAAATGAGAACCAGGTTTCTTTCATCGGAATTTACAACATCATGCATTTGTTTTTAGAGTGATCTTCAAAAATTGAAAGCGGATGTTGATAGCGCCAAGGTTGTTGTTAGGGCAGCTCGATTAACTTCGGCCTCGAATAATGACACCGAAAATGTGGCCAAAGAGCTGGATGAAAGGGTTAGTTAGACTTAAAATATATTTTAAATTGAAGGGTGTAATTTCTCAAGGAATAAGGATATAATTCAATTTTTAGATAATATCTACCCCGCCCTTTTTTAATGCTAATTTCGCTTTTTCAGACTCTTTATGAAACTTTATCTGAATGGCGTGATTGGCAAGTCAAAGAATCGATCAGGGATAAGAAAACGATTCCTGTCGCGCGATTGCCACCTGCATTTATTCCTACCCCCAACAAACCCATTTTCTTCGATTTGGCAAATTTCCATTTAACGGTACGTTAAAAAAAATCCAAAAATTTAAATTTATTTTTGTTGTTTACGAAAAATTATCGCGAGTTTATAAAGAATTTGATATTTTTTAGATGCCGAATTTGGAGGATCGCCTGACTCAACTACAAAAAGATGCGCCAGCTCCAAAGAAAGGCCAAAAGTCGGCAGATAGCGGAAAAAATCAGGGAACGGAGCAGGACAAACAAGGCATCTCCGGAATGGTTTCGGGATGGTTCTGGGGCAAAAAGTGATAATTATTTACCTCAAACTTTTGTTTTCAATTCTGTTTCGCGTTTTTGTTCTCAATCTTGTTTCAAATTATCGTTGTTATTTATTTAAGTATTTAATTGTGATTGCAAAGTCTTAGATTTTTCGCACCCGATTTTTGTCTTAATAAAGTGACAAGTTTGGACTGTTGAAACGTTATATTCAATGGTTTATCATCCAATATATGATATCGAACAGGTTTCCCAAATGATGAAAAACGATATTTGACGTTGAAATTCATGTTCATTTCGCAATGTTTTTGCGAGTGTATGTATTTGCTTTAAGAAAGCAATAAAAAAAGAAACAATTTTTTCGCATACCTCATTGCCCTTTTGTTTTATATGACTGGCAAATTTTACAAATATTTTAATGTTATAAATATTGCCAAATGTCACTTAACATGTTAGATAACGTGAATTTTCGAATTTCAGTAATATGAGCAATGAGCTCATTATATCCCGATGAGAGTTATTGTACAAGTGAAATAGGACGTATTTTATTTCAATCTAAGGTTCGTTTCTTGTTTCTTCATATTATAATTTTCGTTTTAGTCGGATTGGGCATGTTCAGCAGCAATTACATCGTGTGATAATGAAAAAGGGATAACGGGACAGTATACCATATATCAAGTTAAAATCGAGGTAATATTTGTATATTTTTAATTTTCTATAAATAATAAGCATATAGTGCAAACCGGTATCCGGAACTCTTGTAAATTATGGAGAAAGAACATTTTTATTATCAACGAGATTCAAAGAAATGCAAAAATTGCATACTGCATGCGCAAAACTTCATAAACAGGTTTTAAATTTTATTACTATTGTTATTATTATTATTATTATTATTATTATTATTATTATTATTATTATTATTATTATTATTATTAAAATCATTAAGCTCTACTTACGAGGAATTTTTCCCAGTTTTCCGGCTGCGAAATTGATCGGATCATGTAAGATATTTGTGAAAAAAATAAAATTCTTTATAAAAATGTTCAGTAGAACCCTCAGTAATTCATGAGCGGAAATTGGCGATTGAACAGCTTCTGAATGTGATTTTGGAAAGCGAGGTTTTACGAAAAACTCGAGTTCTTCAAGAGTTTGTTGAGGTATTTCTAATTTGGTTTTCATCGCGTAAAAATTATGTTTTTTTGCAGAGAGCTCAAGAAAAAGTAACCGCTTCTCATGAAGTAACTCCTGGAATGATTCACTACGATCAATCCAGGAGCATCATCGACACTCCAATTACGTAAGTAATTTTTGTTTATTCTTCTATTTAGTAATTATATCGATTGTAGACCAGAAACATCGGATGCTCAAATCTCGGACGAATCTACTTCAGTTTCGAATCAAGTCAGTCATACTACTTAGAATATTCGCATTATAATTTTGTCGAAAAATTCGATATCATTTCACTTATTTTCTTCCCGTTTTTTTCACTTTCATTCTTAATAAAATTCAAATAGTTTGGTGTATTTCAATATTTTCTAGGAAACAACGCGACAAGAATTTGAATTTCCCGAAGTAAGGATAGGTTTGTATTATTGAAGAGAAAATAAGCGTGGAACACCTAAAAGTTTAGGAAATAATGAAGATGATGATCAAATTGTGAAGAAGAAATCATCGCTCGCTTCTTTTCGGAGGATATTTCCAAAAATGAAACAACCTAAAAGTGTAACAGGTACTGAAATCAATTGTTAGAAGTCTAGTCTAATTTAAAACAAACATGAAGCCATACTTATGGGTTTTAAAAATTCACAACTATAGTTTTGAACCAATTAACAAAACTTTTTTGTATTGATGTACATTTCAGATCCTTCAAATTCAACATCGCACGATTTTCTAATTCGAGCAGGTCAACTTGTTTCAACTGCTCAAAGAGCTGAAGAAGAACAAGCCTATGAGCTTGCATTTCAATGCTATAAAAACGCAGCGAGTTGTTTGATTCACGGAGCTCAGAACGAAATGGACACGGCTCGTCGGAATGCAATTCGCAGAAAATCAGCAAAATACTTGGTTAAGGCCGAAACTTTGTATCGTGAATTTCTGAGCCTGGACGGATCAGTGTTCAATTTCGAAGGACTTGCTATGCAGGACCCGAATATTATTGCTTTTCAATGTTCAAACAAAACGATTAACAATTACAAAATAATTGGAATTCTACCGAGTGTGAGTTCCGAAAACCGAGTTATACTTGTGGAAGATCAAAAAGCGAAAAAGAAGTATGTGATGAAGCTTATTGAAAAGGGATCGCCGAGTGCTGATAGCAGGATATTTCTGCCTACAAATATTCCACATATGGTTCAACTCATTCAATTTTTTGAACTTGAGTTTCAAATTGTGGTTCTTTTGGAATATGTCGAAACCGGAAAGCTCTGGAACTTTTTGAAACGATATTTCGATGAAGCCGAGACCAGATATTGTACGGGATTAATCGATGCCAGTGGTAATGAAAACGAATCTTTTCAAATTTCGGTTGCGGGCATTGGTCAAGAATCCGAAAAAGCTTATAGAGGTTTGAAATAATAATAATTGAGAGATTATTTCAATCACTAATACAGGTAGAAGATTACTATTCACAGTTGGAGTTGATTTTGAAAGAGTTGCTCAAATGAGGGACGAGTCCCATAGTGTAATTTTTGTTATTTTTATGAATTTGTAATTTATTGTATTGAATAGAATGATCAACCATTCGAAGAAGCTGTCATTTGCACAATGGGCGAAGATGCCGCTGGAATTGCAGATGCTCCGTCCGGTGACTTTAGTATTCACGAAAAACTAAGTATTACATCTATGCAAATTTTTACTTAATATATGCTGATATTAGATGAAAGGAATGAAGCTCAAGAAGAAGCAGTAGCTGAAATTCAGCTGAATATTCGTAACGAAGCGAATTATGACTACCCAATTCAATTAGAAAAAGCGCTTCGTGTTGTTCGTCATCAATTAACCTTGAGGAAAAAGTCATGGAATCACGTAAGAGCTTCAATCATAGCTTCAATTTAATTAATTATAAATTTAGTTGGATTTGCCAGAATGTCTTATCATCCATTGGTCTGCGCAGATTGTTTCTTTTTTCTATGTTCTTCATCATGAGCATGGAGAATACATTGGGTAATTTGAATCAAGACTCCAATATTATTAATTTGCCTATATTTATAGGGATTTCAATCCGGATAATATATTAATCAATACTGATGGAAACTTAACAATCAGTTATATTGGGAAATGGTACAACACAACGAAGACACCGAGACTGTGCGAAGGATATTCAGCACCAGAATGCGTGAAATATGGGTGGAAACCAAATGAAAAATCGGATGTTTGGACCATTGGCGCAATATTGTATGAAATGCTAACCGGACGATCACTAGCGAATGCTGCACCGCATGGCCTGTTTCCAAACGACGAACTCCCGATTCCGAATGATTCTCGAATATCATACGCCGCTTCTCATCTTCTAGAAATGTTAGTTTCTTCACTTTATAAGTTATATCGTGATTTCTACAGAACCCTAAAACTTTCATCAACGTCACGTGCCTCTCTGGATGATATTCGAGTACATCCATTCTTCCAACATATCGATTGGCTTCTTTATGATAATCCATCATCTATTTCACCACGTTGCGGTGATATTGTATTATAGCAGAATTAGACATGTAAAAACTAATTTATTTGGTCTAATATAAAATTCTATTATGGACCTATTCATGAAACGTGTTTTTTAATGAAAAAACCGCGCGTGCTTTTGTGGTACCATCTCCAACAAATAAACTCAAATAATTCGGATTCATTCAATCAAAAATTTAGATGTATGTAACGGTCAGGTCATGTTCATCGATGAACTTCTTGGCAGCATCAATATATCCCAACAGAGATCCAATTTGATCCGCAGCTCTCTTACTCTTCGTTTCAGCTTTCGTTTCTGCTGGTTGGTCCTTATTCTGAATGCGTTCTTTTTCACTTTGTTCCCGAATTTGTTGAGCAAATTCATCAAGTTTCTTCTGAAGGCGTTTCATTATCTCATCGTTACTCTCTTCAGAAAGTTTGAAACTTTTCTCGATGAATTCAGGCTCAACTTTCTGAAAAATATTTTTGAAAGATTGTCATCAAGATCAGTTACATTTGTTTTCACGAAGAATCTCAAGTGTTTTGGATCCTTGATCTCAGTTCCATCGCCAATGATCTCGTCTTTCCTTTTCTATTAAAAAAAATAATTCCCATTAGTAGTTGGAGCTGCTAATACTTACCACAACTTCATTTTCTACATCTTTGTAGCCAACAGCCGCAGCCGAAACAATTAGAAAAGTTGAAACCAACAGGCGCCTTTAAAGTGGTTTCATGAAAATATCAGAGCATTCCGATACCTCATGGTTGATTGCTATTCCGGATTTTCTGGCCGAATCGTGTTTGCTAAACCACGATGATAATTTGTCGTCATTTTTTTCGCTTTTATCATCTTTAATATCAGATATCAACAATGTCACGAGAATATTTTTTTTCAAATGTAAACAATTATCTAATTTAAAAAATGTATTAGATTTAGAGAGTGGGCTGAAGAGATCTTGCAAATCCCATTCGTTGTTGTTGAATATCGTGAATGTTGCAGTATTGACGGATGAAAGGATCTCCTAGAATCCAGGCTGGTCCGAATCCAAAATTGTTGAAATCAAATGCAGCGAATGCACATGTTTTTCCATCGTCGAGCTAAAAAAAATGTAATTTTGATAATGGATTTTAGTAATTCCGCACGTTGATGATGTAGTTAACTTTCTCAATCGAATAAGTATTATCTCCGATGAGAATGTCAAGAGTTCCTTTGTTAGTATCACATGGGAGATAGTAGAGTCCGTCTTCGCGGCTGTACTGAAATACATATGCATTAAAATTATTAGTTTTTTTTCCGAATAATCATTACAGTAGCTCCCAATTCGTTGGCTAGCCCTTGGATAACCGCTTTTGGTCCTCCGAGGAAAGAAGTTCCAGTGTCGGAAATAACCTGATACTTCTTGCTGTTGCTGTACGATCCAAGGGAGAACTTTTTGGCCTTGAATTTAATTTTTTAATTTTCTTATTTAATTAATTAAACCAAAACTTACTACAAATTGATAATATGTTGCAGATGAGAGTGGTTGATAAGCGATCACTTCTCCGCAGTTGGTCGTGTCGAGTCCGCCATAAGTGAACACACCTCCGCCAACATTGTTTGCAGCGCCTTTGTGCTCAAGCCAGACAGTGAACACTGGTTGGTCGAGAAGGTTTTGGTTAATAGCATTAATCAGTGGTGGAACAACGTGGTCAACGGCAAGAGATGTGAAAGCAAGACCGAGAATTCCTTCGGCTGCATCGGTTTTGAAATCAGATGAAATATGAGTGGCGATTCCGAAGGTGGTTGATGGGACCACAAGTTGTTGCTCATCAAGTCCTCCAAACTGAAATAAAGAACATAAATTTTGTCACATCAACGTCAAAATCATTTACGACTTACTCTAACAGTGTCCTCTCCTAGGAATCCCTTAGCATTTCCTGATCCATATTGAATGGTCCATGCTTTTCCGTTGGCAACAAATGAAGAAGATTTGCTTGAATCAAATTTATTCTTTCCGTCGCACGACTTATCGCATTTTGGTCCCGGAACCCAAAGGTTGGCAGATCCGGTATCAAGAACGACAACAAATGATTGATCAGGGGTTCCGATGGTAATATTTCCGAGATATTCAAAGTCCCCAAAATCGTTGACATTTTCTGGCACAACACCGAACTCAGCTGGATTGGCATCGCGCATATCATTCAAATACTTGCGATATGCTCCCCATTCTCCTCGTTTGATCATCTGGATGCGTCTCGACTCACGGAAGGTAAGCTTGTGTTGATGAACGGCGGCTGCCGCAAGCCCCACAAGGGCTAACAAGAGAATGAATCTCATTCTGCAACAATAATTACATAAAAATGGACCATAGGAATGTAAAAATGATTTCAATTGGGTTTCTTGTGTAATTTTTATACTAGATGATTGTAAATGTGACGCGATACTAAAACGCATAAAAATGGAAATTGTGATAAGAAAATTGGTTTTTTGATTCGAAGTTCCGGATTATTCGTCTTTATGGCTGATAAACTACATAAATGATAAATTCACCTATTTAAAATTATTTTAGCAGAAATCTTTCATTATAAAATTTAACTAATACTTAGAGGATGTGGCATAGGGATAGATCGTCAAATTTTTGATTAACTCAAACATGTACAATAATCCCGTTATGAAGAGCATTTTTTTACAATAATTCCATTTTTAACTGGTTACATAAGATTCAGCATTTTATCTTAATGTTAACTCAAGTTTTGCGCCATATGGTCGAAGCTGGTGGTGCACCAATTATTATTCAATTTTTCAGTATGCTTCAACTACCCTTTTACCAAATTTTGTAGTGACTAGCTTTATTTTCACAAAGATGACCGACAATGCCCTATACCGAGGAGTAGATGGAAAAAATCAAGTTCCTACGGAAAAGCTCACTGGATCAGCTCATAAAATGATGAGCATTACCTCAATAAAGAGAAACGTGAAAAGGAGCTTCGACTGAACCGGATTTTTTTGGAAACTAAAATTTTCAATTTGATTTAAAAAGATTTAATTACTTTGAATGTGGTACCTTAATTTCAGAGTACCATATAATGGTAGTGGCCTATCCGTTTAGAAGTGAAATTATCGAAAATTCGATATAGAATAAGAGCTACTGATCAAAAGTACTAAATAACAGACCAACGACCGGTCTACGGTAATTTTAGTGGAAGTCTAATCACATAGAAAAATAATTTTTTTAAGAAGCTTATAAATCTCATCGTATGATTACGAATTCGGACCATGATCAATGGAGAAGATGTCCAGGAAGGAAAAAGTCGAAATTAAGACATAATTAATACTTGCGTTGATCTGTTTCGATTAGGAGATTCATCTTGATTTCGTTTTCCATTTCGTCTGGTAATAATAACCTGAATTGTGGAAGATTCTAAAACTACTAAAACATTACGTTAAAGTTAACTTAACAAAAAATGTGTTATTCAATAAAAACACTTGAATTGATTGTTTTACACAATTTAACCACTTATGCTCCTCTCTGTATATTGAATTAAATTAAATTTCTTTTTGCAAACAATATCGTTTATTACTATTTCTCATTTGGGTTAATTAAACACCATTAGTAGAAATAAAACGTCAGAACCGTAGATAATTTTGATTGGTTTTGATCTTTGCACAAACATGAGCCGGAAAACGGTTGGTTTGATGATAATAATTATCATTTTTGTCATCATGCATAAAAGAGGCTTTCAAACCAATACTTGCAGTTTTTCTTCTCTTTTCTGCACCTGAGTAATTTACATTATCTTTTGCTATTTACAGAATGAAGTTATTCATTCTTTTGGCGTTGGTAAGCATTGCCGCATGTGCTGTTCATCAACACAGAATTAACTGGAGGCCATCGAAACGGATGGAAATGCTTCGTAGAGGCGAATATGCAGCATATCTCGAATATCAGAGAGAATTGCGTAAACAGTCTCCAAATGTTTTGAACAGTCTCCCGCAAAATGTCAACGATTTTGGGGACTTTGAATATCTCGGAAATATTACCATCGGAACCCCTGATCAATCATTTGTTGTCGTTCTTGATACCGGATCTGCCAACCTTTGGGTTCCGGGACCAAAATGCGATAAGTCGTGCGACGGAAAAAGCAAGTTTGATTCGTCGAAATCGAAAACATTTGTGAAAAATGGGGAATCATGGATAATTCAGTACGGATCAGGAGACGCTTCCGGATATTTAGGAGAAGACACCGTCAGAGTATGAATTTGTTCTTATGTTTATGTACTAGTAGAATGGTTTCGAAATTTGATTATCATTTATAGTCGGCGTCCGGCGACTGCTGTACGCGGGTAGATTTACGTGCATGTGCCTTGAAAAGGTCTCGCCACGCGCGAATGCTTATTTTGCTGTTTTCACGTGAACTGCTTAATTTTTCTTGATGAATTTTGTATTTCCTTGAATTTCCAACGTCATTCGATTAAAAAATTATCGAATCGGTCCATAAAATTTGAAACAACCTGTTAGTCCTTGCGAGACCATTTTAAAAGACGCATTCCCGTAAATCTACTCACGTCGCCGGACACCGACTATAACACATAATGAAAAAAAAAATATTAATTTTAAAATAGATTATTCTTTCCAATTCTTGACATCAACGTTATTTAAATGTTTTGCCATATGAATTTGAGAAAAGTATTTTTTTCATGCAATGAAAACTCGATCGAACATATCATTTTTTATTCTTTAGTTTGGAGCTGTTGGTGAAGATCAGCTTGAGGTTCCATCGACTACTTTTGGAATTGCGACAAGAATTTCTGCCGATTTCAAAAATGTGAGATTCTGGTTTTTTTACGATTTCTAATTTTAAAACATTAAGGATGCCACGGATGGAATCCTTGGACTTGCTTTCACTTCTCTTGCAGTAGACGGGGTTGTTCCGCCACTCATCAACGCGATCAATCAAAACCTTCTTGATCAGCCACTTTTCACCGTGTGGCTTGAACATAGAGGATCTCTGAACAACGTCGGAGGAGGTGTATTTACTTACGGAGCGATTGATACTACCGACTGTGGAGCAATTGTCGGCTATCAGCCACTTTCGTCGGCCACCTATTATCAGTTCAAAGCTTCTGGATTTGCTCTCGGCAGCTATTCAAACTCCAAGAATGTTGAAGTTATTTCCGACACCGGAACTTCTTTCCTCGGTGGACCACAAGATGTTGTTGATGGACTCGCAAAAGCAGCTGGAGCCACTTACGATTACTTCAACGAGGTTTATTTCATCGACTGCAAAGCACAACCAGGCACACTTGATATCACAATTGGAGGAAATGTTTACTCTATCAAGCCAGTCAACTACATTGTCGACGCTGGAAATGGTCAATGCCTCTTTGCTGCGTTTCCGTTCGATTTCGGAGGATTCGGCCCGTCTTGGATTCTCGGTGACCCATTCATCCGTCAATATTGCAACATTTATGACATCGGAAACAAGCAAATGGGATTTGCTCCATCGCTTCAAAAGTAAATCAAGAGTTTGTATGAAACGATTACTTAATAAATTCATATTCAATAACTCTTGAATCAATCCTAATTCATGACTAAGCATGTCAGTTGTTTACGAGTTCTGAACTCCAAGTGTCAATTATCGTTTTGTAGTTAATTTTCGATCGAGCTCGTGACATATTTTTTGCAAAATACGATTCCAAAAATTATTCCTTTTAGAGTTTATCGCATGAATCATCATCAACTACACCTGATATATCACGCGAGACTTCGTCTGTCTGGATTTGCTTGCACTTTAAAGAATCTAGTGAATTATGCGAAGCTCATATTATAGTTTTGTTGCACGACTAGTTTCTCAATAATCAAGGCGAGCAAGTATTCAAAGGAAACGAACTGAATACACATCAGTTTCCGAGAACTAAATTTATATTTCGACGGATTCCTCCCCATAAAACTTACAATTTTCTTATTAAAACAACCAGCTCGTAAATAATGCAAACAATCAAATTTTTGAGTGGAATTTTTTGGTCTCTTCTTGCTGCCTCCTCATGCAGTCAATTCGGATGCCGAAAACGAGGGCCTCTGGAAACCTTTTCATGGGCATTTCTTGCTAGTCAATTCCCTCTCAACTCTGACGTTGCCTCAAAAAATGTTTCGTCAGTGACGGAAAAAGTGCAAATGCACTATATCTTCCTGCCACTCATTGCCTCATATTACACAGATGCAAACATTTGCGAATCTCGCTCTCTCGCATTCCAAATTCATCCAAAAACTTTGCTACCGTAATCCATGCGCCTGACATGAGAATGAAACAAAACAAATTGGCGTACTTGGATAGGGCAATGTAATTGACCTACTGTTGTGTTTCGCAGTTATTTCCCAAAAAATATCATTGAAATATGTTCAACTAAAACATATTTTAATCAAGCTCAAAAATAATGGATGGAAAAGGGCAAAAAGTGACTCACCTGGAACTCTGGAGAAAAGATCATTTTCTGCAAAAACAATTCTGACATATAGCCAGAACAAATTGGTTTCATTTATTATAGTAATCAAGAAGAGAGGTTTTCAGTATGATTAATCAAGTTAATTTAGCTGAAGGATTTCGAGTTTTCAGAAGTTTGACGCTATAATGCTTTGTCATCAATGTTCCATTGTGCCTCAATATGGTTTTATCTGAAAAGGAAATTTTATTAATCTGTGATTAATGACCATTTGCAAAAGCAACTATTCACGAAGTGGTTATTAGATTACGGAACACCTGACAATTCTTTTTACAGTAAGAAATCACGTCACTGTTTATAAAACTTAAGCTATAATGAATTCCCTTATCTGAAAATTTACCAATTTCAAACTGTACAAAAAATTGATATTGGTTTTCCAAGAGCCGTAAAATACACTATTCATTCTATCCTTCTCTCTGTCGTATTTAGTAGACAAATAATTATATTCAAACATATCAATATATTCAATTTTTGTATTTAGAAATCCACTTCCTAATCGGAATCATGAGTGCTTTTCTATTTCAATTACTTTCATTTTTCGCGGCCGTTGTCAATAAACTAAATTGACTAGTTGATATTGTCGATAGATTTCATTCGAAATGCGCTTGTCTATCCATAAGTGCATCACAATGACCTTTGCATATTTCTTTTCTCATATATGTATAATATATACTTGACTTAATCGAAAAAGAAAGAACTCTCAGACATTTTCTGATCGCTTGCGTTTTCGTCGTTGCAGCAGCCGAAACAAGCAGCTCAGACCAACTGAAAAAGTGCAATACGATTAAGATTATGTTTCTCCGGACGGGAAAAAAATCGAGAAACAGGAGCAGAGATCAATGCCTTATTTCGGTGTTGGCTCATCAATCATCAAAAACGTTACTTCTTATCTTAACAAAGACCTAAAGTCATCCCTGAATTCTCAATTATTCGCATCTTTTTCTTCTTTTTTTCTTCCTTCGTTTTTCTTTTTTTTTTCATCTGTCCGACCTCACATTGCACTTTTATCCCACTCGAATCTGCACTTTTTACTCCCCCCCCCCCTTTTTCTTCCCACTTTTGAGTTTATAACTCATTTCCCAAAGTTTGGAATATTCCGCGATACTGATTATTCATGGAATTAATAATCAATTGATAAGCGATGTCTTAAAAGTGCAATCGCTGATAATTCATGTTTTTTAATCGTTTTGAAACCGAAAATGGTCATTGACAAACATGTAAACTTCCTTTTCGGAAATTAAAAATTTCATCGAATATACATAGTGGGCGTTTCAAAAGAATAAATGGACTCGAAAGGTCCTCAGGAAATGCGACTAATTGTAGGTTTCGAAAATAATAGTATGACATTTTCATAATTTCGTAGTATCGCTAAAATACTTTAAAATATTTGAAATGGGCTGAAAAATTTTCTTTTGATTACGTCATTAGGACGCATTTGAACTAAAAAATAAATAATTATTATTATTATAATTATAATAATAAACTAAAGAATCCACAAGAAGCCAACGATATATCGTTGAATCCTTTCTGTAATTAAATTTATATATTTTTGAAACTCACATTGCCCCGGTAATTCCGCTCAATTTCGATGCCACATTATGTGACCAATAATTCTTTTTCTTAAATTTTTTCTCATCTCAATGACTTATTTTCATCGAGGTCTTCACAACAAGGTTTTTGCAAAATTATCTTACTAGATAGGAAGTATCGGGTATCTATTTATACCTTGGTTCTTTTCTAAAAGGTCACTATTTGAAAAACGGCCTAATGTGCGACAAACGGTATCGATTTTGCTATCTCGAAAATCTATCCCATCACTTTTTTCTGAAGAAACGTTCAATTGACGATCAGGAGATTGCTTTTTATGATTATTTTGATGCATTCTTTTGCAGGAGAACTGAAATAATTTGAATGGAAATCACGAAATCACATTCATTCTGACTGCGAATAGCAGATCGTTGCAATCAATTTTTTTTTTAAGTTTTTGAATCTTTTTGGATTCAACTAAATGCTTCGTATAAGTACATATATAATGTATAGCTAAACTAAGGATAACTATGCCATCAAACATTGATTATGTATATTTGAAGATTATATATTCCAGGTATTCATTCATTCAATCATGAGAAAATTGCTTCAAAACCGCAATCATCACTCTGAGTTGTATATTCTCAATAATTTATGATCTTCAACATATCTATGAGATCAATCATTAAAAATTGTGTTCAAAAAATGATTGAAGGAACGTAACATCGTGTTAAATCAGGTTTTCCTGAAAAAAATATGACGAAGATCATGCGTGAAAACATCATTATCTATCATCAGAAATCATTTATTGAAATACCTTTGGTAATGTTTATACATAGAACAATGAGCTAGATTATTATGCTGACATGGTGCACCGATTGTACTGTTACCAGGAAATCATGCTGCACTTGTGCAAACTTGATCTTGAGATCGGATCGCGCTCAAAGTGTAAGTAAATACAGCGTGTGAGTGAATCGAAATCATTAATCGTCTTAGTTGGTCATTTTTGAAACTTCACAATTCTCCATTTATCTCATTGAGGCGCATGTCATCCGAAAAGAGATGCGAATGGGCATTAGGCACAAAAATTTCCTGCAAAGTTCACATCTACCGTATCCGCGCGCCATACTTAAATCCCTCCATCTTCCTTCCTCCGACGGACACGCTTTGCCCTTTTGGTCGTCACTCACAACTGCCCCAGCCCTTCTCATCTCTCAGCCCTTGCTATCCACAACCAACCAGCCGCCCGCCGCTTCTAAAAGTGCAAACGCGTGTTTGTATGTGCATTTCCCGCAATGTTTCAATGTTCAAAAAACCTCGACATTATGGGAGAGTGGGCACGACGGCAGCCTCGGCGAGTCGCAGAGAAAATTTCGACAAGCAAAAGAAAAGGACCGCATGACAAAATGGTGTGGAAATTGATATGGGTGTAGGTTGAAACGCACTTTATACCGTCTTTCGTGTCCTTTTGGCGAATAAAAAAGAATGTCGATAGCATCTCAAGCATTAGATTCAAATCAATTCGATTTGGTGAACAAGTGCAGACGACGAACCAAATTATTGTCTAAGACACCGCGCAATTTGATTATAAATGGGGAAGAAAAAATGAAAAACAAATTTTTTTTGAATAGGAATTTGGCGATTTTTCAAACAGAGTTGAACCAAAAATGTAATACGACATATTAATCACTTGTGTGCTTTATTTTGACTAATGAATCCTTAAGATCATATTTTGACTCAGTAAATCCTCATGAGCAATCAGAATTAGATTCATATCAAGTTCTATTGTTGGAAAACGAATGTTGAACTGCCATTCGCGAATCCATCGGGGTGCACTTATAAACTGATTAGCAAAATTCGAGAATATTTCAAATTTACACGCACGCTTCAGCCTTTGAAATGTTAGATTTGAATTTGAATTTATTTTGACATCCAGTAACTAAGCCTTGGATAAACATGTGCTTTTAAACGCCGTCTCGAAACGAAGACTAGAATTTTCTCGATTTTTAGACGTCTGCTGAAATATAGATATCAACAAGCAGGAGAACGTTCTTTCCCATTCTAAAAATAATGCTGATAATTTAATAATCGGGGTCTTGAGTTCATACTTAACAGCTTATATATGTATGTTCATAAAATCATTTCGGACTATCATTGGTGGCACACGAATGTTTTATCTCAAAAATCAATTCTAGTTCATCAAGGTTGTAAATAATCAATTGAATTATTTTTTCTTGTTGAACCCTCAACTGTTGATTTTGACTCAAACGTAAGACATTCTGTGAATTTCGCTTTGTTTCTGCTGCAACCTTGAGATTTGGCAAACCAACATGTGATTTTCCGAACCCTATACTTATGTTTTGGGGCTGGTGGTTTCATAAAATCTTACTTCATTTATACGAAATAAACACCCTTTTTTTAGTATTCTTATTTTTCTCGTTTTTTTTTGTTGAAATTAAACCTGATAATAATCCCAAATTTAGTAATCTTGTTTAATATTTGTGTTCGGTTCACAATCGACAAAACAATCACCAATTAGCCGCCTTGTTTTTACAGTATCCCACGCTCATCGCTGATTGGTTGGCTGGAATTTCAGAAAAATGGGCGGAGCCACATTGAATCCCGTCGCACCGCGGGCAGGCGGCGGTCATTTTGGCGAAAAAAAAAACAACAATTGAGTGAGAAAATATTGGGACACGAGAGTATGTGCGCTTTTCAAACAAAATGATCAAAAGTGCATTTGTAAGCGGCGAGGATGCGTCAGAGGCAACAAAAGTGCACGTGAACCTTGAATGGTTTTCTCTGTTTCTCTGCGATCCCTTGTCTCTCGTCACAACGATAGTAAAGCAAATCTTCATCGCCATCTCTCGTGACACAAGGCACAATGAGGACGGTTTTTTTCAAACGTTTTTGGGGGGAGGAGAAAAAGGCAGTGTTACTGTAGGTCGATGATCTAGTTGTAGTTTGCGTTGCACTTTTCGACGCACGTGCCGCTTTTTATCAGCAATTTCGCATCGCATCGGCCGGCGACGCACTAACCTCGTAAACAATTTACGGTTGCTTCGTATCCGTTCAAGGTGTGAATATTTGAATGAGGAGCGTTTGAAACAATTTCGCGAATTCGCCATGTCATTTGTGAATTAAATCGAGGCAAACGGAAAGGAAGTAGAGTCAACATTCGACATCTGTAGTCTGCGAACAAATTATGGTTATACTTCCGGCAATAAGGGTGGCCTAAAAGAATTTCCCTCATTCCTCCAGCAATCAAAGTAATTGTCTTTGAATCAAAATTTCCAATTCAAACCAAGGTTGATGAATCCCAAATCAAGTCGTTGATGCTGGTCCGTTAGCCAATTACACCAAAAGACAATCAAGCGGGTGCTTCGACTTCATAGAACGCCGACAGGTTTAAAGTGCATATGCGCACAGAAGGTCGTGTCCTCTTCCTCGCTTGCCGCCCTCCCCCTTTATGAAAGGAACGAAAAAAAGAGGCGGCGAAATGGGACGCGCCCCCACGAGAAAAGTGCAAACCAGCGCTGCGCGTATAGGCATCTATTGAGAAGATGAAGAAGACTGGTGATTGTAACGGTTGAGGTGTCAGTCTTGTTGACATTTCGAGGATGAATGCAAAATGAAAATGTTTTTGAATTCGCCAACTACGGGATGTTTATTGGCATAATTTGCTAATTTGAATGGACAGTTTCCTAGTTTCATTTCCGATATTGGAGGTCGTCGTTTGTATCATCAAATCGGTTTCATTCGAATCTTCACCGTCATTGGGTCTTCTCCTGTGTGGTTCTTTGGCTTAAGCGCGCTAAAAGTTTTGTGCACTGACCTTGTCGGGCACACGTCGAATTAATAACAAGAATATTGGTGTGTGTCCGGTCCGCAAAATGCGGAGAAAAACAAACAAAACGGTCGAAAGCGGTTGAAATGTATATGAAATCAGTGGCTCATTGTATACGAGTACGCCCATAAACAGTAAGTACTATTCGAGGGCTGAACTGATTCTATTGGGGATTCCTCTCGTCATTTCTTCTCAAATGAATTGTTTATTTTCAAATAAAACGAACTGTAAGCCGGAATAATATTTATGCATTGGGGAGCTAATTTATGGCAGCCTATAAGAATTGCTATTCTGATTTCTTGTATTCTTATTCCTTCAAGTGGCTTGTTCAACGTAAATTGGTAGATGTAATGATTCACACGGCCTCTATGACTGTACAGTTTTGTCGTTCGTCAATCGTGCTAGGCACACCTTTATACAGTTTCAATCACATCGAGATTGAAGCCATTATTGTAATCACATAAGAATCAAGAATTTCTCCACATATCACTATTACTGGGGGAAAAAATTATTTTCAAGAAAAAAATAGAAAATCCAATCAAATTGCACTTAATCTATGTCATACAGAACAATTGCTATTTTGATTTTTCATTTTTTTTTTTAAATTTCAATGAATTTTTAAAAATCTACAATCTTTTATTGGAATAAAATTTTTAAAAATAATGTAAAATTTGTTTGAAATAATTAAACCTGAAAAGTGCAAAATGTATTTGAACTCGAAAATGATATTCAAATTAGCTTTGAGTCATTCGCCCCACAAATTAAGTGTCATAAAATGCAGAAATTAGCCTTTTTGCCATGTCCTTGAAGCGTTTTTGCAATTTTTTTTTGCACTTTAGCGTGCGGGAAGTACACTCGATGGGCGGTACCATCGGCCACACCCCTTTCTCGAAACGCAGCGTTTCACACACACATAGACTCGCATTCATAGACACTACCGCTCACGCATACAGCCTACAACAAAACCTCTCCTCCTATTCTTTCCCATCAGATTCTTACAGTTTTTAAACTGTTTCTTTTCACAACCACAAAAAAGACTCTTGTTTGTTTATTTGTTGTTGACTCTGAAAAAAGTTGAAACGAAAGCGTCTCTCTCTCTCACACACTGACAAAATGCGTAGGAGAAAAAAAAACACGGATAAGAATTCTGCGCCTCTTCGTCTCCGAAACTCTCTCGTTTGCACTTTTTCGCCACCGCGACTGTTTTGCACTTTTGTTGTGTGTGTGTGTGTGTCAATATATATATATATATATATATATATATATATATATATATATATATATATATATATATATATATATATATATATATATATATATATATATACATATATAATATTTAAAAAGTTAAAATGGAGATTGAACATGAAGTTGCTGGAGTATTCCAGTTTTTTTCTTTGCTTCGTCCTTTCGAGTCTGTTGTTTAGTATTGTTTTCTTTTGTTCGTCCTCTCCCGGAAACTTGACACTTTTTCTGTTTTCTATTTTTCCGCCACTTCTCTCTCACTCACCCATTTTTTCCTAATTCCAATGCGATTGCACTATAAATTGTGCCCGCAAAGGGTATTGCGGTGATTTCATTTCGATAGCCAAAAATAATTGGTTGTGATTTTTGAATCCGTTTTCGAAATGATCCCACTCGGTTTGCACTTTTCCGAAACATTACATTAACGTGCACTTACTCATTTTTTCCCACGATTTTGCCATGCAAATAAAACATCGATGGATTATACACATTCAGCGAATTGTTTCGCGAGTTTGCCCGTGGTCTATTGGCGAACACACCCTCTGCTCTGGGCGAGCTTGACATGAAACGATCTTCGGACCTCTGGCGAACTTGCGAAATCGTTTCTTCCGGAGCTCATTATACATAAATTGATGAGTTAATTGATTTTTCTTCTTCAGAATGGAGAATAAGTCACAGCCGCATTCTAGTGAGCTTCAGGCTCTAATAGCTGCCATTCCACATGAGTTGTCACTATCCTCACCGACGACTACAGTACGCTATTTCTTCTCAGAAATATTGAAATGGGTTGAAATTGCAGACCAAATCAGGTTCATCAATTGGTGATATTTCGTCAACTTCCTCCACGTATCTGTTCCCTCATGTTAGCGATATGGCCGCATTGTCGATGCTGTCGTTGTCGAGCTATCCGAGCCTATTCGGCGGTCTTCCGTTTTTCCCATCGCTTCCTTATTTGAACGCCAACCTGCCACCACACGCAACAATTGAGAGTCTCGGTCTTATCAACTCGGCAATGGTTGGCTTTGGTTCTTTTTCGTGCATCCGAAACCGCATTTGTTTAGTATCAAGATCAGCGGGATGTGGTTTCCGCGATGTGCTCGCCGGCTCCGTCAGCGCCAAATATCGATACGAGACCAAGAGCGTTTTCGAGCGCTGCAACTCTTCAACATCCCAAGGTTTGTACATCTGTCCCATTATTTCCCAACTCTGTACAATGATGTGCCAAAAGAAATTTGTTGTTTGTTTATTTTCCGGTCCTCTTGGGATTTTCATATATTGTGTCGTACTGTAGCTTACACTTATATCTCGCATATGAATGCTCGTTTTGCAGCCTGCTGCCGATCAGGAGAAACGTCGTAAACGTTCGCGTAAATCGGAGCCAGTTCCGCCAGCTGTTAGTGTGGCTACTGATTCAAACATGAGTAGCACTTCGTCAAAATCCTCAACATCATCCGGCACTTCTTCGTCAATTTTAATGAGACTAGTTGAAGAGGACGATGTTCCAATCAAGAAGCCTATTACTGTAACTAAGGAAGATGAAGAAGCTGTTCAACGGAAGGTCGCTGAATGTGAGTTACAGTCACTAATCAACATAATTGACGGATGCAATTTTCAGTTTTGAAGAAACATCCAATCTTCTATGATATTAATTACGACGTTGATTATGATGAAAACGGTGTTCGTCGGCCACTTCGTCAAATTATTCGTGACGAGGATTTGCCGGATGAGGCCGAGCCTGACTCGCCGTTCCGGCATTTTCCAAAGTATCAGGTAGCCGCCAAGTTAGTAGTTTATCTCTTTTTTTGTTTTGTATCAATTTTAAAATTCAAAAAAAGATTGCCATATAAAATTCTAATTTGAACAATTTATTTAATATTGATATTATAAACAATATTTAAGAGATATTTATTAATACATAAAATACTTAATGTTTTGATTATTATTTACATACTTTTTTTATTTTTAAAGTGAAATTCACTTAAATAAACAAATTTATCATATGAGGATTACTTCTAATTAATTTTGGCTACAATCGTTAATAGAAAATTTAGTGTAGTTTCAGATGAACTAAAAGTTTTATGAATCGAATGATTCAAAAATTATTGTAGATTTGTAGTAATTATTCTAATTGAATAATTGTTAAATATTCAGAAAGAAGGCGAACAATCTCAATCCATGATGACACAATGTGACCCATCAGAAAAAAATACGATGCACATTAAAATGTTAAAATTAAACGATTCGCGCAAGCCTGTCGAAATTCGTAATTACGCCAAAGGCACCCACTTAGCTGAGCTTGTTAACGAAACAATTTGTAAGGAGCTTCTTACAGCCTAGTTTTCTGTTACCCTATTGTATTGTTAATCCCCACAATTAATTCATTTGTTCAACAATTACTTCATATTTGTCTTTTGTTCGAAACTGATTCAGGAATATACCGTATGCGAGTTTCCAATATCATCAATTCCCTTTCGTTCCAGCACATTACCCCCCATTTGCTTTGTATTTATTTTCAAATAATTTTTTGTGTGTTTTTTTTCATTATTTAATTTATTTTATTTTCAATTGTTCTCAAAAACTACATTGATGCCTTTCATTGATTTTTTTTCAATTATTCTTCAGTTTCATGTACAATTATTTAGTTCCAAAAAAGTTGTGTTTTCATTTAAATGAATGTTTATAACTTTGAAGTACAAAATAATAGTCATATTCGCCTTTATATATTAGTATAAAAGGACTTTGAGGATACGCCGAAACGTTTTTTTTTTGGTTAAGTTGTTGATGAAATTCTGAGTGATTTTTGTTATAAATATTCGCGGTAGACTACTGTATCTTTTGTTGCAGAAATTCGGGGCATCAAATTGAAAAGATCCGAAAGGACAATGCAGCCGAAAGTGCTAGAAAACAAGAATTTTTATCTTCTTTTCACAATCGAAGAGGGATTTCAAACGGGGTGGTTGGTTAAATCGTCAAAATACAAGAAATATACGGAATATGTGTTTTGAGAAACCAACCACCTTCCCAGGAAGAAAATTTTTTTAGAAAGCAGAAATGTAAAAAAAACATTTCATGATAAAAAATCCATAAATCCATGAAATATTATAAGGTATTTATTTAATTATCAGTTGAAATAGCTGAAAAAAGAACATTTGTTTTTTTTTTCCTGTACAGTTAAGAAAAACGTGCCGGCAAAAAGGTAAAAACCGATCTCGTATCGATATTTGGCGCTGACGGAGCCGGCGAGCACATCGCGGAAACCACATCCCGCTGATCTTGATACTAAACAAATGCGGTTTCGGACGCACGAAAAAGAACCAAAAGCCAACCATTGCCGAGTTGATAAGACCGAGACTCTCAATTGTTGCGTGTGGTGGCAGGTTGGCGTTCAAATAAGGAAGCGATGGGAAAAACGGAAGACCGCCGAATAGGCTCGGATAACTCGACAATGAATTGTCGATACAACAACAGTAAAGTTTTTTTTTAGTTTATTTATAGTTTTTTAGCTTTAGTATAGTTTTTATCCATTTCAGTATTTTAATATTAAATTCTCTCATTCTTCGTTTAAAATATTCTCGATTTTCTAACTAGTTGTCTTTTTTTTAATACGCAGAAATTCTGAAATAAAAATGAAAAAAATGCGTTTATATTAAAAAAACATAATATTAAAATATTGGAAATTAAGTAATTTTTCTTCAAAGAATTTGTTTGTTTTAGTAAGAAACCAAAAAATTAGTAAACAAAAAAACTGAACTTTTGATTTTTTCGTATTTAACAATCCATCACCGAATAGTTTTCTATTCATAAGTTTTATTGATTCGATAAAAATTGTGTGACTTTGCTAAAAATTATTTTTGAAAAAAAAAAAAGAATTGTACTGCCAAGTTCCACTCAAACTTATCGAAACAACACACAAATGGATGTTGTTGCACGGTATAAAAAGATCCATTTTCAAATCACCGTGCCTATCGTAAAATTCCAATCGAACAAATCACTACTGTATGTAAATTCGAGACAATTGGCTATTTCGAACTTAATGACTCTGAACGACTTTTCTGAGATCCTACTGGATCTGTAATGCATTACCATCACAAAAAACGAGCGCCATACATTATTGCGAACCGTCGTATTTTTTTTTCTGAGCTGTAATTCAAATATCAATTTAAACAGTGGAAATTTATTTTTGAATCAAACAAGTAAAACATTTAAAAAAATCATCAAACAATATTAAGCTATATTTGAAAAATTCGTTGTGGGTAGCATATTTTCGAATTTTTTGACACTGTGAAGCATTGTATTCGACAGAACGACAGATACTCGAATAATTGTTATTTTGGCCTCTTTTTGAAATTGTTCACATGTTACGAATTCTACTTTGCATTCCGCCACAAGTGAAGCCATATCTGTCTACCATCATCGTTATAATTATCTCCTAATTAAAAAAAACATAATTGTGCACTTTGCGAAAAAAATGAAACGCGAGGAATGTGGTACGCCTCAATCATGCACTAGAATGTAGTAAAGAACACCAATAATAAGAGCGAGTCTACCGTAATCTGGGCTGGCGAAGAAAAGTGCACGAACAGCTTCAAGTGCTCCACCCATCAGACAGGCGACCATTTCAAAACATTGTTCAACTTTTTTGCGATTTCGTGCCGAGAGACGAGACGGCGAAGGTCGGAAACAAACGTAAAATAGTACAATGAGCGAATGGTCAGTCTACGAGGCGAGGAAGCCGCGGTCGAAAGTAATGGAGCACTTGATGTTGTCCCTTTTCGGTTTCGAGGACAATTGCACTAAAAACAACATGATGTTCTAGCAGGCCGAGAATTTCCAACAGCCACGGTTTGCGCCGATTTGAACTGAAATGAACACATAAGGACGACATCGACAATAAACACATAATCTTCTAATTAGGAGACAACGCTTACTGTATTCTGATACGAATACAAATATTTGAAAAAAAACAAATATTATACTTTTTGGGAAAAAAAGGACAACTTTTACAAAAATCTATTTGATGAATTTTATTCTAAAAAACTGCAATAAATGATAAAAAGAGAATTCATTTTTTCGGATCAATCTGCATAGTATCAATAGATTTCCAATCTAGAAAATGGCTTGACGAATTATTGTCAATCAGAATACAAATAAAATAGAAATTTTAAAGAAAAATTGCAATTTTTTCTTTTAAAAATTGTGCTCAACGCTTGTTAGTAATTTTGAAAAAAGTTTTATGAAGTAAACTATTTCATCATTTTCTTGAAACTGTGATCTTCATTAAATTTTTTTAATAAACGGGATACCATGCGAATCGCAATTTACCGCATCATAAATTTTCTTCTTCCTTTGATTTTTTGTCAACCTCAATTTTGACTATTGAATATTTTTTTTTAAAGTATATTTGAAAATGAATGTTTTTTTTTTCGTTTATTTAGATTCAGAACATAGACATGAACATATTCTTTAAAAGAAAAGAGAAATTGAATTTCTGTTTCAATAAATAGCATCCAAAGTTTAAAAAAACTATTGAGGGGAGTAATGAATGACGAAAAAAATAAAATAATACGTGGAATCAAAATACGTTAGATTATTATTTTTATATAAATGATTACAAAAAGTAGCCAAAATGTTTCAAAGACAATAGAAACACGAACTCCTCCTCGCGTACAGCCGTCTCATGCACAATCGGATAATGTGTTTTGTTGTTATTCTTGGGTATTCGTTTGAAATTTTTGATATATTCAAAACTTGTAGGTGTTTCGTTTAATTTTATTAATTGTTTTCATTTCGTTAGCAGTATCCAGATATGCTTTATACATAAATTCGTAAGGCTTTCGAATCCGTTTTCAAGTAAAAAATAATAATTGGATTTCTTCAGACCGAAAGGGGCACTGATACCATTTGAATGCGGTATAACACATGTATCAATTTTGAAATGCGAAATTTTAAATTTAATGTCACCATTCAGTTGATTGCGACTCTTTGTTGCTCTCTTCTGTGTTGTGGTGGAGATGGAATTGCTCAGAATTATACTGTCGCATGTCTATTGGTAGGATATTTTCTGTCATTATTTATCTCGGGGAAGTCGTGCAAAGTTGGCGCAGACTTTCAGCGGACTCTTATAAAAAACTTCACAGTCGTCAGAAGGTCTGCTTTTATTCGGGAAAATTATTATACATACATACTTTGCTCGCGCTGCTATGTGTGTCAAACACGGAATTTGACGCAAATTTTCAGAACCTGCGTTGGCGACTAATTTTAAATTGTGGAATGAAATTTTTTGCGGAACACGGAGTGCGGAATTCTGCGCAAACTTTGAAATCTTAAAAAGATTGAATGATAGTCAAAAATAAATGATGTATTGTCGAAGTCAAACGACTTGACGAAATTTAAAAAATTATTGTCTATGCGCCAATGCGTCTCGAGGCAGCGAGAGGTACGCGAGACTGCGTACATTGCATTATAGCGTACGCGCATTTAATATTCAGTCAATGAAAAATTTGAATCTACACTGATTTCGCGAATTTGAAGGATCCGCTTCCCTTTAGTCGTTTGACGCCGACAATAGGTTGGAAGAAAAAAATATCATTAAAACTAATAAGAAATTACAAAAAAAAAACATGAAAAACTCCTGGAAAAAAATTTCGGAAAGAAAATTCTCTGATTGCTGCCTCAAATTAGCGGGCGGCGCTTTTGACAGCTTAAGACCACGTCATACCGCCATTGTTTTCAGTTTTCAGAAACTTTTATTGTGCGGAAAACAACAGTTTAAGCCACGATTTTTATTTTTCTGAAATAATTCCTGGAAGAACTTTTAAATCTAGAAAATAGCGTTTTTGTTACGATTGGCGTGTGGTCTTAAGAAATTTAAACAAATTCGCCCCCAACCCGCTGTAATATCGCGTTATCATTCTTGACATCAATTATCTGGAATTATTTTTTTTTCAATTCTGTTAGTAGAATTTTCAGCCATTCCAGAAATTGTTTTGCTTCTGATTTCTCGAATTAATTCATTTCAGTTGGCACTATTAGTATTCGAAATTAGCACTTCGGTATATTACCATCAACCGAACATCACACACGAGAATGAACGTATTATTGATTGAAAATAGGTTTATAATTATTGTATTTTTTACAGTTTACATTTATATGAATTATGGATTTATAACCGCAAGTGCTTTTATCACTTTGGTAGTAGTTTTTCTCCTATTCATCCTTGCCAGGTTAATAATTGAATTAAATGAACATTTGTTCTGAAATTATTACAGGAGTAAACAATTATTCAATCAATAATTGGTGTATCGGTTTATTGTTGTAAATAAGTGAAATCAATATAAACATTTAAATTCGCGCTATTGTCGGTTTAAAGCTTAAAAGACAATCATGTCGGCGGAAACCAAAAAAACCCTATACAGACAGTGAAATGGGACGTCAGCGAGTAATTGTTCGGTCATGGCACATTTCACGTTCACCATCGTTCCTACATTTATTGTTTTTAGCTTCATTTTTATAAAGTATAATGTACAATTTCGCTTTTTTGTCACAACTTTTCGAAAAGCTGAAATTTTTATGCAAAAACATAATTAATTTATTTTCGGATAGTTTAGACTCACTATTGGTGTTTGTGGGTTTATTTTTACGTATTTTCAAAGCCAGTCATCTGACTTGAACCCCATTAAACATTTGTAGGAAGATGTTGGTAGACGTCACCGAGATAAAACAGCAAAAAATTATGCCGAAAAGTTCGAGCAGCTGACGATGGATATACAAGTTTCAACGATCACGAATCGGTCGAGGATGTCAATCTGTGATCGATGCAAATGGCATGTCAGAAAAGATTTCGTGACGAGTGGAAATGACGAAATTCACAGGCACATTGAATCCAAGCCAGCCGATCGTAAGAACTTGGAAACGCGCTTTTATGTCGTTTGTTTTCCAGACGAGACCAATTCCACAATACAATGGTTCAATAAATAGTGCCTCGAATCCTTCCGTCAACGAAAATACTATTTAAATTTTATCATTCCGTGAAAAAACAAGCAGGCAAATCGGGCAGACGTTTTCACCCGCAAGGGTTGTCTCCTACCTTTGACCCCTGGCTTTGTCTCGAACATTTGATAAGTAAAAAAACGCATCCTGTAAAACTTGAAACGTTTTTTGAAAAAATAATCTTTATAATGAGAATTGGAAGTTAGCGATTGAACCGATAGCGTCTTCCGTCCTTTGAATATCCGCATTCCATATTTTTAATCTCGAACATATCAGCATAATGAGTTGGGGCAATCAGAGCTCCCCATCCGATATCGCAAGTGACAACGGTTGCCAATGGCGCTTTTCGATTCTATATATATATAATATAATTATTCCGGGTAAGTATTGTGAGGCATATACGCTCATCTTGAGAACATTGTTGTGTCCCCAAACTTCTTGATCCTTTCCTTGGCTCATGTCAACTTTATAAAGAATCGCGACGTACTCTCCATCTCTGAGAGGAGGTGGGCATTGCATGAGACTCCAAGTTGTGTTCGAGCACATTGCGTTCTGATCCGCATTGCTATTTCTTGCCAAGATTCCATTGCTGTCGATATACGGCAGCTTGCAGCAGACTGTTATTGAAAGATGCGATTAAATTCTAGATTTGAAAAAAACTTACTTGTCGACACAGCGACAATGAGAGCTGCAAAAATGCACACCTTTTGGAAGACCATGTTTGGTTTATGTGTTTGCCGAATCGGCTTTTTAAACATTTCGAGCTCATAGATTTATCTCACACTTAAATTTGAGAATTCAAATAAAACGAGAGAAATTGAAAAAGTATAAAATGGGGGGGGTTAATAAAGGCAACAATAATCCAACAAAATGCTCCAGAAAGTGTGCATCCTATCGGTATTGATTGCCGCCGTGTCAGCAAGTAAGTCACATCTCATTTCCTAATAAGTAGTTGATTTTGAAGTCTGCTGCAAAGTTCCATGGGTGAATCCTAACGGACAAATTCGAAAGTTGAATTGGGAGAGTAAGGACTTGTGCACTAACCAAACATGGTATCCCGCCTATTGCATGGCTACTCGCAAGCATTATACCGCCCTTCTGAAGGATGTCGACATGAGCAAAGGAGTTACTGAGACAGTTTATCCATTAAAGCAATATTCATTCTTTGCCGCGGTATCATTTTGCCCATTGTGACAGCGTTAGCGAAACTGGCCATTTTAGCTGCGAAATGCTGGAACTGCTGTAACATGTGACACGAACACCGGAAAATGGATGGCGTCGAGCAGCAAGTACGACTTCGTTTATATGGATAAGTTCGATTGTGGATTTGCCGATTTCGACGGATATAAGGCTAAATTCAGACTTCAACTATAGCCTGATCATATTCACCATTCATAAACGCATTATCTCAATGTTTTGGAGTACTTTAAATTTAAATATTGTCGGTGTCGCGCAATTGCGGAAAATCGGCAAATATAATAATACATATGTATGTGAATAGAGAAAATGATGTAGAATATTCTATTTAAGTGGAATTGAATGCGATGTCGCAGTTTTATGACATGAGCTGACAACATGCCTACGTGTGGGTTATGTATGAAAAAAAGTTTAGAAACTCGCCTAAACGACTACTGATAGAGTAAACAAATCTGTACATATACAACGTCAAGAGTAAGATGGGGCAATTTTTCGTAGTATTAAAAATAAATTATTACAAAAAATAAATTTCCGAACAATGCACAGAATTGGCAGTTATCATAAGAAATTCGACAATGCCCGGTTTTATTGAGAACATTTTATCCCAAAATCGTTCGATTATTCTTTTACCAAAACGGTCGGATTTTTGAAAAAAATCGTTTCAAGACATATCAAAGTATAGAAATTTCCTCTTAAGTTTGTTCTTTTAAAATGCGTTAGGTCCGCTTCCGTAAAACAAAGCAATATCATCGTTGTAAAAATCTCTGTTTGGCTGAAGAAGTTTATCACAATCAGAATTAATATCTTTGATGAAAAAATTAAGGAAAGCGCTTTTCTGAAAGAAATGGCACATTTCTCGTTCGCCATTATTTCGAAATTCGGGTTGAATATGAGTACAGCCCGATCAGCAGTGCATCTCGGAAACGGTAGATTCAAGGATCGGAAAAAATCAATCGAGCTTGGATAGACTTGGGAAAGGCTTGCAGTTAAACCACTTTGAGCAGTTTCAAGTCGTTTTTTTAATAATCTTTAAAATGCCTATCAGGTTTTATTCGCTAAATTCTCTCTAATTATTTTTTCCTTCCCTCAGTGACTTTGCATTCTCTCGTCACTGTTTCGAAGAGCAGAAATTCAAAAGTGTTCCGGTGAGAGTTGTACATAAGAACTTTCCAAATAATCTTTCTGATTCCAGTTTTATTGATAGATAAAGGATGAGGCCACTACTAGTATTTTTGTTGATGATACGACTGTCCTACATTATTGATGTTTGTGGGCAAATCGGATTTGAAGCGTCACCAGAGACACCTATTCATCGCTATCATCAGTTTTTCTCACCAATCAATAACAAACAAAAGCCACACCCGACAGCAAACGTCTTGACACACGACTTCTAATTTCTGCCATTACGGCCAATTATCGAAGAACAAAAAATTAAGTGGTCGCGAATTCCGCGCATAGCTTCGCCGCGCGTCATCACACTCAAAAAGGCGTGAAAATGAAGAAATGAATGAAATCCGCGAAAAGCGTTCAAACAACTAACAGCTGTTTTTTTTTTCTTCAAAGATGCAAATTGGAATAATCAAAATACCAGTTCTGTTCTTCATCTTATCGATGATTTTCACGACCAGAATACGCGTTTCTCTTTTTGATCATCTCACTGAATATGGGCAAAGTTCTTCAGCTCGCCTGTCACTACAAATATCCCCTTCTATTGATCTTAATTAAGAGATAGACATCGCATTTTCATCGACAACACGTAAAAGATAAGAATGGATATTGATTCGAAAGCTTTGCTTTATTTATAAATCGTGTTGAAATATATATAAATATTATTATAATTACATACAATTATGTACAATTGAGCAAGGAAACGAAATAATGTAAATTATATACAACATTGGAGACCAGCAAAATGAGTACGGAACCCGTCACATTGCAAAAATGTTAATAACAACGATGTGTACATGAAAAAATGTAATGGGCATCAAAAAGAAATTCGAAGCCTTAGGAGCTGAAGCTCGCGGTTTTCAATCCTTGCATGTAACCGAAGGTTTTCTTCATTTCGGTAACGAAGCTGTTGGTGCAATCGCAGCAAACTGAGCACAGCATTCCCATTGGATAACCCTTGTTGTCGCTGCAGCCATTCAAAGGCACGAACATTTGTCCGCAGGCTTTGCTCTCGACGACCGAAGACAGAATTGCGTATGAGCCGTCGTTTGGAATTGGTCCAGTGCAGCCAAGCATTGTGCAAACTGGAGCCTCAACCTGCAAATGTGGTAAATATGACTCGTGTTTGATATAATAAATAACCAACCTTTTCGAAGTCAGATCCTTCCAAGAATGTGCCAGCTGGATTGGTAGCTGGACCCTGAGCCTCTCCGAAGTAATCGTCATCGGATTCCTCGCAGACTGGCACAGTCTTTTCGACGCGTTTGTCGAGCTTTGGGACTTCTCCAATCTCAGAAATGAAGTCGTTCTTCATTTTCTTCTGTCCAGGAAGTTTTTCAGTCTTCTTGCCAACTGGAACAGCGACACCGTCAACATCCATATTGGCAAAATGGCCGTCGCCAGCGGCTCCAAAGAACGAGTCAAGATCAAAATCTTCGGAGATGGCTGATGAAGTTGGTGCCGAATAAGCGGCAGTAGCAACCAAGCAAAGAATAAGAAGAATGTTGGAGTTCATTAGTAATGTTGAATACGAAATGTTTCGATTTTGTTGTTGTACCAGTCGTTTGCCTCGTCTTAAATATGGCCAAGAGGGTTGGGCTAAGGTCGATGATCGTCGCGAGATGGGTGGAGGGCGCGCGCCTTGAGAAAAATGGGCGGAACGCGCAAGATTATTTTTGGCGGCGCTTATCATCACCTTTTTCGTCATCCGAGAAACATGATTTCGATATATGCCAAAACACCTTCACGTGACGTGACGAAGAGCCTCCTGACCAAATCCGTCAAATGAAAACAAAATAACAGAGGAAATATATCTAATGTTGTGATATTGGAAACGGTGTGTAGCCGACTCAAATCGAATCAAACCGATTCGAAAACGCTGCGCGACTCAAAGGCGCCTTGCGACCTCTTCCTTATCAATTCGTTATTCAATTTTCGGATTTGATCATTAGTAGCTCCGCCTATTTCTTCCTTATCATGCTACCGTCGGCGAAGACGAAATTGACTAGATTTATTGCTTCAATTTAACACAATATCAAAGGACCTTATCTTGGGAAAGGAAAGCGATTTGGACACACTGTGTACGAAACAAAGATTAACATCGATTAGCGAAAATCTCAAATTTTCGAAAATTTTTGCTTAAACGTCTGAAATTCAACTTTTCAATTAATATTAATGATGGGTTCTCTTTTCTCTTTTTTTTAACTCAGCGATTCATTGAATCCAAAAATATTTCCTAGATTTTGAGGTTTTTGATGTATCATAATTTCGGACTGGAAAATACGCAAAACTTCATAATTGTTTGAAGTTGTTGAATAACTATCCAATAGTACATGGTTGATCAGATTTCAATAGTAATTGGGTACATTCTTTTCTTTAAATTCCATTTTTAATCAGCCTCGTAAAGTTACTTTAATTGAATAAATGTGACCTTAAATGAATGTAAACTGGTTCATGCTCCCAAAATAGAAGTTCGATCTTTATCCAACAGACGTGTTCCCCATGGTCGCACACAATCGCAATTCATTCGCATTCCAACGCGATGGGTTTTACGACGAACTACAGAACCACTCATTTTCGTGAATACCGCAAATTCCTTTCACACCTCTAGGAATCTTAGACTCTATTAATCATATAGGTTTTGATTCGAAAAAAAAAACATTAATACACAATTGATAACGAAGATATTCGGAACATGATGACTACGCACGTTCGATCACATTCATCACATCGCTGGAGCGAAATCAGCGAAGAGAAAAATTGATAAAACTTGGTGTTCCATATCATATCATGCATGCTTTCAACACCTTTTTTTCGGGTCTAAGAACATTGATGCATGACCTTCGTAAATGTCCATGTCCATTTGATCACAAGTTTTGTCGAAAATATAACACAAAATGAGAAGGAATTCCAACTTGATAACGGACTTTGATATTCTTCGCAATTCAAACAAAACGCCATCGTCGTTTCAACGTCTTTCTTCTTCTGCTCCAAATGGCTGATGGTTGAGACGATCAGCAGACGAACGTCTTGGTCAAAGAATGCGGTAGACAAAAACAAATGGCGCCGAATTTCTGTCTTGATAATATGATTGGGCGAACATATATTGAATCTCGTAAGGAATGTAAGTTGTTGCAAGAAGAAACGCACACACATTAAGGAAGGAAACGAGAGAGAATTAGAATAACTAATTAAGAAGGGTTTGATTGGAAAAAAACGGAACCAAATTTTCGATGGAATGTTTGTTTAAACCCAGCAAACAGTTTGATTTTCAACGAACGTGTTTTAACTAATCAGTCAATTCGAGCATGGATTTTTCTCGTAGGTCAACCATATTTCGACGGGTCAGCATGTGATCGCAACTGTGTCCACGTGATCATCCACAACCTGATAATTCGATAAGACCATAGATTAATCAAGTGAGTGTGTTTTGTTTTCAAGAAAGAACTGTCTTGGTATCAATTTCACGTGTGATACATTTATTTCATTCCGGTCATCGATTTATGAAATTGACGCGGTTTGCCCTCTAGACTGACCCGCGCCGAACAGATATCGGCTCGGATCACAAGACCAACATTCCAGGCCAAACTAACACCCTAGGGCATCTTTCTGACTTCCGTGCTCTGTGCGGTTTTATGTGATGATCTTCATTTCAAACTGGGAGCTAACGCTAGTTTGTATTTTTATTCTATATTTGAAACAACAAATATTCCCGCAATGATCATTAAAATAATAGTCAAGCAATTCTTGCCCATTTTCCACCGACTGTGACTAATTATTCAATATATTTTTTTTAATTTTCAAATTTCGTTTTGTGTGTATGGCTTAGAAAGTGAAACAAGTGTGCTAAACGAGGCAATCTACTGGGGCCTACCAGTCACAAATTAACTGTTGATATAATAGTGAATTCCTGTCAATTAACAAGTTATTTATCACACTAGGAATGTTGTACGTCATCATTGGGATGGCTTTTTGCATTCCAATTACATCTATACTTTCCAGGACCCAATTTGCTAGAAAATCATAAAATTTTAAATACAAAAGTCAGACCATCATTGCTCGCTTGTATGCTCCTCTTTAAATGGTCCCATTTCCATGAGATCATTTGCATTCGATGGTGATGTTGAAGATTTTCCATGATAACATTGTCAAGTTAACATGTGTACAATTTGTAGAAACAGCATAAGGGAGATCGGTTCAAGAAGTATTCGGTTGACTGGAATAGTTCATTTGTACCAAGACGGCGCGACGTCAATGAAATGAAATCAAAATTCGGTTGAAAACATATTCGTCTCTTCCTCGTTGATCGAACAAAATCACGCCGCCGCTAGTTGATAACGATACGCCTCGATGATCGCATGAAGTGTAGTGTCGAATCGGGTTTGACGCGGATAAAAATAGAAATCACATATATTTGGGCGTCATTTATGGCGCCTTGTCGACGCGAGTGATCCATCTTTTTTCGCGAATTCGATACACTTCATTTTCTTCACATTTCGATGGTATTCGCGCGTGATTGGAATATTTTCCATTCGGTTTTCAAAAGGCCAAAAAATTAACTAAAAATTGCTTACTGGAAATAAACTTCAAGGTTCTTCCTCATTGTGTTAGTTTGGCGATGTCCGACATGTCATTAATTATTGATTGTTGACTAATGGAATCATTTTGATTCCATCCTTCCTCGTTACATTTTTTCAAAGAAATTAATGTTTTGAAAAACCAGAAAATCAGAATTTTTGCTAATTGGAATTTGAATTTTTACTGTATGTGTTTCGTCAACAGTACATAGATGTAGATTGAATCACTGACCATTTCTGAAACAAAGAAGCCTACTAGAATCGGTTGTTGCGAGACTCTGTCTTACCCTCTAATTACCGTATCAGAAAAAGTTTTCGAAATCGGAAAACTCCTCAAATTGTCTGACTTCAAGTATTTCATGTGAAATTTTCGCAGGTTCGAACAATCACAAAAATTCGGTGAAATTCAAGGCTATTCAATCGTGCAATTGAAACAAATCAAATAGTTGACTCATAATGCGGAAAATGATTTATTCAATTCACAATGGCAACGCAAAAATCTCATCATTTTTTCAGTTTTTGTATTGTCGAAGACGGACGAATTTGACAAATTTGAATGATCAAACTTTGAATGATTTTTGATCCTGTCGCAAAATCAACTAATTTTCAATGCGTTTCCTACTACTGTCGGAGTCAAACGACTTGATGACATTTAAAAAATTATTGTCTATGTGCGAATGCGTCTCGAATCAGCGAGAAATAGGCGAGACTGCGTACATTGCATTATAGTGTACGCGAATTTAAAATTCGGTCAACGAAAAATTTAAATCTGCACTTCGTGAATTTGAAGGGCCCGTCGTTTGACCCCGACAATAGATCAAACCGAAAATGATTATAAGACCATGCCGCCAAAATTTGAATAGTAAGCAACGCCCCCTAAATTCCGTCGTCGATAATATTTAACTTAGTAAAAAAAACTGTTTTTCAACCAAAATAGTTCGAGACCAAATCACATAATCGAAATTTTTACAGCGAAATTTCCTGTATTGAATAATATGATACAGCCGGCGTCGCGCGACAGCGGAAAATTGGTTTGATGAAAAGAAATGTGATAGAGAGAGAGAGGGGGGGGGGGACGTAGACGCCACTTTAACCTATGCTTTTATTTTGCTTGTAAATCTACATATCTAGTTTTGCACCAAGAACTTCCTTATAGTTTTTGATTTCTTTTCAGTTCGTTTTAACAATCATAACAATACAATTAATATGTAGTATTACATCTCGCAACGTTTCAATTTTAAGTTCGTAACAAAAATATAATAAAAAATGGTGCAGAAACTAGAAAATATTGGATGATTCTGGAAAATTCAACAGTAAACAAAAACCTGAAAAATGTTTATCTCGATGTTCTATATTTAGCAACGACACATATCAGCAACTGATTTATGACTCGCAATAACTGACTCGAAACTTGTCTGGTTTAACGAACAGTTCACCAACACAAAGAAATTCCGAGATTTATGTCTGGCGGCTGCGTGCGCGCATTCATTTCATCTCAAAACAACTTTATACAGGATACCGCCGCACTTAATGACGCACCGATTGATTTCTATCATATAAATATATATGTATACGCTCACAATTTTCAAGGCATCCGATTTTTGATGCGCCAATTTAACGTTGGAATCGTAAACGTTCTGAAGAAACTCGGCCGGTAATAAAAATTGGCATTAGTCGAATTCCACGCGGATTTACGATAGAACACGCGACGTTGTTTGGTTTAAAAAAAATTGCGATTACGAAAAACAAGCGACTGGGATACTTGGAGATGGTGAAACGCACTTGAAATTAAAATTGAAGCTATGAAATTGAAATATTTTAACGTGCCCTTTAGAGGATTCTATTTTTGAATTTGTCTAAAATGAAAAAAATTCAATACATTTAAATATTGGGACACAAATACGTGTAATTTGACAGAAAAATTGTTTGAATAAAATTT